ACAGACTAGTTGCTACCCGCCAGCGGAGCACAAACACAAACTAACTATCTGTACTCATTCACACCGATGGACAATTTGGATTTTTCAAGGAAACTATGAGACATGTTTTGCCAAAGTAGAAGGAAGCCGGAGTACCGATAGAAACAGCCAGGCCATCAAAGGGAGAATATCAAACACAGAAAGGCGGGTAACTTTGAGGTAGACGTGCTAACCACTCATACACTGAGCTGTCAAACTTCAGACTACGTCAAATTGGAACGCCTTAATAGGGGAGGCATGCTCCAATAATTACTACCTAACTTGTATTTCTCTATCCCCACATACTGGAACATGAGAAATCAGTGTGAAACTGTGAATTTATCACTTAATAGCTTCTGAAATTAATTATGGAAACGTACGAAAAAGTTTATTTTGACAAATGATCAAGTCTGACAAAAAGAAACACTGTTTTTGCGTGATATTTCCACAACCTTAAGAATTGTTGAAGGCAGCAAAAAAAAAGTGAACTAAGTGGTACATTTTTTTATTTAGACCTTGACTGGATACCGCTTTACCTTGAGCATGCCAGCGGCCGCAGAGACCACCTTCGTGTGAGGCGACAACAGGCAGGACATGGTGGCCGAAAAGAGGCGAGGCAGGTGCCCCAGACTCAACGAACTCTGCAAACTGCACAAAAGACACACTCACTCATTGTAACGTGAGGACAAACTAACTCACTCTAAAACTCCCAAGACGATTACTTAAGTGCTTGTTACCATGCCAAGTGAACATGTGCCTTCTCCATCACAGCGAGCCAGGCCAGCAGAGGCTGCAGGTCATTCTCACTGGGCAGGTAGTCGTACAGAGCCTAAGAAAAAATTTAGAATTCATCACGTAATCCACAGCAGGACAATTTTTTTTTTCTTCGTTGCTCCCAGTCTTACTGTGATGATTTGTGCGTTGAGTTCGGGTGACAGGTTTGAGGCGTTCGGCTTCCCGCTGAAGAGTCTATGGAAAGTCTGCATGGCGCTGGCGGTCACAAGCTTCACACAGAAAAATGACAGTAATTGGCATCACGTTGCATCAACATGAACTAAGTCAAATGTCTCCTTTCAATTTGGAGAACAGTGATCAACATTTTTGCTTATGTCTGTCATGTTCCAGACCAAACCAGTAATTGAATGTTATTTTCCGCACAATTTTGTCCATTTGAAATCATGTCTTTTTGAGTAGAGAGATGCAAATGATCATTTTCTTGATCCGATTCATTGCCAAAAATAAATTGACAGATGAATCGATTGCTAAAATAATTGTTAGTTGCGACCCTCCTCTAATTTGCATTGTAACTTGATTACCTCTAAAACATGCATTATTCCAAATAGAGACTGCTTTTCGGTCGCACCAGTTCAGTAGATCAGCTTCCGCATCTGTTTGCATGCGCAAACATTTGATAAATCAGGCCCTGTGTTTGTTTGTTTCATGCAGAGCTTCCACAGCATTCTCACCACATGGCTGAGCGTCATGACTCGCAGCAATGTCTCACAACACGATTTCACGGCCGCGAGGGGGAACGACAACATCAGCTCCTTCAGGAGACCCAACACGTGAAGCGTGGTGGTGTCCTCTCTGCTTCCTGCACAGAGAAAAACATAAGTTAAACACCCTCACTACTGGCAGAATGAAAAGTGGCCTACCTCCTGCCTGCTCCATCTCCTTGATGCAGAATTTGGCTGTGGACGCGGCAGCCGGGTGATGCGCGGGCGCTTTGTCTGTGAACAGGAAGTCGCTCCCTCGGAGGATGGCGCACACACCTTGCTGCGCTGCTTTACGTACCTACACAGAGGTACACAAATGACAATGCCGTGTTAGGTGCCCTGCGAATGACTGGCGATCGCCTAAATTCAACTGGGATAGATACCTACTCGAACCGCAACGCTAATAAGGACAAGTGCAACAGAAAGTGGGCGAATGGATGTTTTCCTGACCTTGGGTTTGTTGTGTACGGTGAAGCTGAGCAGGCCGTGGTACGCCTGAAGAGTGGATGGGTAAGTCCAGACAGTCGCGTCCTGTTTCCTCAACAGAGTGGCCAAGCATGACAAAATCTAAGGAGGATAGCAACAAGACGATCAATCTGACATGCCTGGAAACAATTGAGAAAAATAAATAAGAGGACATATTCACCCATCTGAGAGACGAAGTGCTTTCAGATGAGGCCTGCTGGGACATGACGTCCATCAAAACCTTGGTGGTGTCCGAGAATTTAGACATGAGCACCGGGGCGGGGACCCTGAAAGCAGCCAATTGCATTCATTTATTTCATTCTTCACGAACTTGACACGAATGCATCCATTTATGTGAGGGCAAACCTTTTCATGGTGAGGTTGAGGAGGTAGGCCACTGCAGCTTGCGATTCCGCTGAATCCACCACCTCCAGAGTGGTCATCTACGCATCAAACACAACCGACACATGCTGTAGATATTCATATCATCAGACAGATCAGCGGTTCTCAAACTGGAGGTCGGCAAAATGATACAATGTATCATTTAAAGTACATACCTACATGTGGGGAGTAACGAGATAATTTAAACATAATAAACCACTTACTCCTGCTTTGTTTAGGGCCAATTTAAAGCTCACCTGATTGTGTATCACAAATCTTCCATTCCGATATAGATTATCTTTTTTTTTCACTCAAAAACAAAAAGCGAGGGGTGTGCTGGATTTTAAAATAAATAAACAAAGCCACTGTATCATTATGCAAAGTTTGAACATTAAATGCAGTGACATTTTTTCCATGTACCACACAACTTTGAAGAGAGTTGGTTCTCTTGAAGTCATCTTATGTTTGTAGAACAGTTAATAATGTTCAAGTGTTAATCAAGACACTGCTAGCATTTTTAGTCGCAACAGTTTGGACTATAATTGATCCATGCGTCACAGCATGGACTGTGGTTGACCTTTAAGTATCAATACATCATGCTAAGTCAGCACACTTACCAAGGCAGCAAAGTACTCAGTTTCTGTTTCCTTGCCTCCCTGACTACGAATCACCTCCGTTACAGCTGCCAACACAGCGCAGATCTGCAAAGTACATTTGGGAAACTGAGTTAGTATTACAATTGATCACAGAAACCTCAACATGGAATTCAAAAGATATACATTCCTTTTGGATTGCAGACATCCACCTCTCCTCCTACCTCTTTGTGAGCGGCTGAGTTGGATTCCCAGAAACGTTGCACCTTCCTGAAGGTTAGGTTGGAGCAGTCCGAGAGGCCGCTGAGGAAGGTGCCTGAAGTCCTGACCGACAACGCTGGCTCTTCCTCCATTCTCGCATCTTTCTGGCTCGCTGTTTTGATCTCCAGTGGACCCGTCTGCAGCTCATTGTGGAGCTTGAGCGCATCAACCGTCAGATCACTTTTTCCTGACACACACACATACCCAAACAAACAAACGGCATGACAGTTCTATGCAAGTTATGTCGAGTAAATAAAATGAATTGAACACTCATTTGTATTTATTTGGATTTTACTCTATTTAGTACAATAACCATGTAAAATTAGACATTTTATTAAGACAATGCACCAAGCATGTAAAATGGGGGGAATGCTGTGATTTAAATAAAAGTGGCTGTTTTACAGTCATTCGGTCGACCAAGCCCCTGCAATATACTACCTTGAGATTTTCAGTTTTTAATTTGTGTTACTGGAGCCATACAGCAAGTTCCTAATATTTTGGTTATCTTGATATTTTAATACATGACAGTTAATGATGATTAAACTTAACCATTTAAATCCTGAACACATGCATTTACTGACTTTTAATGTATAAAACAGAGGAAACTTTAATTACGCATAATACCTCTCTAGCTATTCAACTAAATGACAATGTTGTGGATTGAGGCTAACTGGCTACCACCAGCTAAAGTTAGCCCAGCCCCTAAAACCACGTGCAAAATGAAACTTTACCGGATGGTCGGCTGAAAAAGCGACTTTTAGCAGCAGTTCGATGTCGACTCGTCTGCGGGTTGGAGTCGCTGCTGCGTCCTTTCTTCCACCGTTTGAGTTTCGAGCCTGTCCCGGATCGAAGTTTCCCCGATTTGACCATTTTCACGATCTCCCAGCCTGCTGTGTGTACACGCAGCTGCCTGGTCCACACAGATGACTCTGTCGCTCATTTGATGACGTCACAAGACGCCCCCTCCCTTTGTGTTGTTTTGCCTGCAGAGGTCGCTGCCAAACTCAAAATGAACATACTGTATAATAGGTACAGTACTGTATTTGCATGCAATACTGTGAAATAACTTGTTCATTTGTTAGTCATCTTTATTTAAGTTCTTCATTTAATTAAAAAAAATCTGAACGCCAACACTTTTGTTTTAGCTCACATTTTTCATCATGTGAACTCTGTCTGAAAAAAAACATCGTAGATAATCTCGGCAAGTGTGCCTCCGGTTACCCACAATAAAAGGCCACTCTAAAATGTGCAGTTTCATGTTTTGTATTTGTACAGTGGCCAAGAGTTTAAGTTTCCAGTGATTTTGTTTCATTTAAGGTTAATTTTAAAATATGTACAGTTATGTGAGGAACATCTAATGCACATTTTAAAGCTCTGAGTTACAGTGCAAAGAGAACTAATCATCTGATAGTAGATGGTATTCATGTCTTTATTTGGAATTGAGTCAAGGAATGACAATGACTGAGCACGTCAACTGACCAAACAACAGACAAAGATGCAAATATTTACATTTATCTTCCCTGTCTCACCGTTATCCTCTCACATTACACATGGGGGGAAAACAGCACATGGATTTTCTATTTTTGGATGGCTGAGCAAACATTATTGAGTTTGCTACCGAGCACAAAGACAAACAGTCAAGACAAAGTGGGGTGTTCTCAATGGAGGTGAAAGTTAAAGAGGTTTACTGAGGACACAAACAGCGATGTGCATGTTGGGATTCTATTTTTCATCTAACCGAGGGGTGGGAAACCTCTGACCTATCGACGGCTGTTTCAGTTTTTGCCAAATCCTGAATGAAATCAGAGTATAATGCATCCACGTTGATGTTAAGAGTATTTATGCTTGGCTTTTGTTTACAGTATGGCTCACAGGCCAAAGCGTACCACCATCAGCTCTAAAGTGTTCCAGTGCTTATTTTTAGTGTTATTTGGAAAAAGAGGGAGAACAAATACAAAAATTAAACTTTATAAAAGCAATATTCTTATAGAAAATTGTACAGAAAATTCCAGTGCATAAACCTTTCATGCCCAATTTCTCTCTTTCTCTCTCTTGCTTTCTGCCCATTTTTTCCCAATTATTGCACTCCTCTCAGTTGGCTATAAGTGGAGGGTTCATGTTGACGATGACTTGGACAACAAAGTCTTTCTGGATTTTGGCGTCCTGCAGACGAGTCTTGTCCGTGAGGAGTTTCCCAGAGAAGAACCACCTCTGGCGGGACACGTCGATTGACTCCTGATCCTCCAGCTGCTTCTTCAGCTCGGCGATGGAGTCGGCCAAGCTGGCAGTCAGACGCACATCTTCGCCTAAAAAAAAAAAAAAAAAAAAAAACCTCAGGTACAGTAGCAACTTGCTTTTTAACCGTATTATTTTCTGTCGTTTCTTTAATTACCTGAAGACAGTCGCACACGCAGCTGGAACTCTTGCCTGCAGGGAATAGGCTGCACTTGCTTTTGTGTGGATTCACAAAGTTTGCTCTCGCTGCATGTTTCATTGATGAGGTTGACAGGTGGTACCAAAGTGTAAGCTGGAAGCTGGTAACGGTTGCCCAGCTCATCGTAACTCTCCGTGAGCGAGCCTGCACAGGTAATAAAATAGCCCATGCTCTGAAAAAGTGAAAATGCTCTGAAAAACAGTCATTGCATACTTCCCATATCCCAAGACTGGCAGTGAAAGCGTTAAAATTGCACACACAAAAAATAAACAAATTAAAAAATAATAATAATTATTATTATTATTATAAAAAAACAAAAATTAAACAGATCACACTAATCTCCTTCGCTTTAGCTCAAAGAGGAGGTTCCATTTCCACAACAATTAGTATGAGGACATTTTTAGGATATATGTGGTTAATTTGGAGGGAATTAGACCAGATACACAATAAAAAAAAGCAGTAGGATAGAAGGAAATGAAACAAAATTATTTTTATAGATTATAGCTCTTATAGATTTTTCTATGTAGATGAATATGCACTTGACATGCCCGTGTTTTTGTTTCCATGTCTCTGTGTGCACCAATCCAGTGGCAGTGGTCACGCAGGACCATTACGTAATCACTATTAGTGGCGTAATCTCTAAACAAGTGATACGCGGCCATCTGCAAACTGCCCTCTGACATTTTGAGAATGACAAACGACTTATGCACTTGTGCTAAAAAATGTAACACTTTGTATACCCGAGCGGGATGAGGCATGCGTGTGTGTGTGCGTACCGTGAGGCAGAGTGATGCAGGCTCCGTCCACGATGGCCTGCGCCAGCTCCAGGTCATTGCACTCGGCGGCCAGGGCTGCTGCTCGCAGCGCGTCCCAGATCTCTTTGCGTCCATCAAAAGCAGGAGCCGTGTCCCAAAACTCATCCCGCTTGCTCCTGAGCTGGCCCTCGGTCATCGGGTATTCACTCTTCCACTTGGGACGATCCTTCTTGAGAGGCTCGTTACGTCCTGAAGGCAAATGCAGGACATTTTCAGTTAGTACAAGCAATTCATTATGGCAAAGGATGAAATGAAAATCTTACAGTTATCATTTTCAATGGTTTCCTTCTTCAAAATGTAAAACACTAAAATATACAAAATTAAATAAAAGGAAAAGGTAAAAAAAAAATGATCAAACTATTTAATGCTGTTTCTGAAATTTGACTCTCAATATTATATTACAAACATGACTATACACTGTAACACTACAAAGTACAAATTAAGACAATATATTTGAATGGGTAAATCCCTCATCATGATGCCCTGCAGTTGATCACATGCTGACGCCAAAATTTGAGCAGCATGATGAAGAGGATTGGTAAAATAGCAATTTTAATCGAAGTAATTTTTGGGTCGAATCATGGATCAAACACATGTTGTGATTGTTGCAGTTCGATTCTAGTCAGGCTCATGCTGGCATTTAACCACAAAAAAGGGGTTATCTGATATTGCATGTTCAAGGCTCTCATATGAAGTAGGGATGGGCAAGTACCGATACCAGGTATCGATATCAGTGGCGATACCAGACTTATTTCAAGGTATTGATACTCGCGAGCCATTCATTTCAGATCATTTGAAGGAAAACGGCTGCATTGGAATTTGTGGTCCTTATTTCAAATTGTCTGTTACTGTTTGGTCTGAAAAAAGTGGTATCAAACCAAACCCCTAGGTATACATAATGCGGTCCGACGGGTCACGCCGCTGCTCGTTACATCTTCCCTGATAAAGGGAGCGATCATCAGCGTGAGCATATCAAGAAAGTTAATTGAACTCACACAGAGAGAGTGGATATATTTAAAGTGATTCATGCTCGTGAGTGTGGTTCTCGTGGAGTGAGCAGTAACACACATACATGTGAGCCACACACGGGTGGACGGCGTTGGATTATAGGCGGTAATCAGGTGCCACATAACAGGATTTAGCTCTCTGTGGCTATATTGAAAGGGCATTGGCTGGCCAGAGGAGCATGCCTTGGCCAATGACAGTCACCATCAGCACATGTGCCGCATGGGCTGAATTGATTTATGTGTAATACTGTCTTGTCCAACGGTTATTCCAATGCTAGGCTGATTTTATTCTGTTTGCAGCATGATGATTTAAAAATGGTATCACCTTCTAGAACACAGGTGTCAAACTCAAGGCCCGAGGGCCAGATCTGGCCCGCCACACCATTTTATGTGGCCCGCAAAAGCAAATCTAAGAAGTCAACTTTCATGATGCTTGCTAAAATCTGTACCAAAATGTTAAATTCTCATTTCTAATAAAGAAGAGTGATACTGTAAGCATTTTCTTGTGACCAAGCCCTCATTACAGTCACTTAAACAATAGGTGAACAAAACCGTTATTCTTGACTTCTTTATATGGTTTCAGTCATAACGGCCCTCCAAGGGAAATGGGAACTCAAATGTGGCCCACAACAAAATTTAGTTCGACACCCCTGGTCTTGAATGCTACATTTGAATCCAGGTTTTTTCATCCTGTTCTGTTTATCAAACTGAAGGAGAAGCCCATAATGTTTAACAGTGTCATTTTGCCTTCATTTTTTTTGAATGAATAAAGCAGTCATCTTACTACCAAAATCAGGCAAATGCACAATATGCCTCTGTGAAGTTATACAGTTTTGCGCTGATCACAGTTACAGCTATTTAGAAATGTTCACTCTTCTGCGTTCCATTTTATTTGCAGACAAGTTATTGCATGCTACATCCAGAACACAGATTGATGAGTACAAAAAAATACAAATAACAACATTCAAGTACAAATGAAATTATATTGGTGCAACTGTGAGGTTTTTTTTTTCTGCACAAGAAGATCTTAAATCATTTCTTTAAAAGTCAGCAAGGTGGAAGAGGTTTGCTGTTGTCTCGGCTAATAATATTGTTGCTGTCAAGAAAAGTGGCAAAGGGATTTTGAATTAATAATAAATAACATGAATCATATAAACATATTGGCTGTGGCAGCAAAGAAATACCTTGACTGTAACCAAATGTCATAAATCCATCTGTCAGGCTCCTTATCTGGCAGTCAATCAATCAATCAATCAATCAATCAATCAATCAATCAATCAATCAATCAATCAATCTCAACTTACTTTTTAGCAGAACTCTTATAGGTGGATTTGGAGAGTGGTAGTAGTTATTCTCCCTTGAGTTGGGGACTCCCATTGCCGGTTATTGGAATACAGCTACATCCACACTTGTGTCGCTCAAAAGGACAACAACAAGTTGGTCTGTCTGGTTTAGTTGACCATCTGCACCACCACCACCTAACTCAAGTGCCTCCACTTCTATGTGGTCTCATAACAAACCATAAATATCCTCTTCCTGCTTTTCATGGAACAAGAGTTCAAGCTGAGGAGTAGGTCCAGTGTCGTGGTTATTCTGAAGGTTGCGTCTCTGTACAAGAGGCCTAATCCTATCACTTCTATTTGGGGGAGGGATAAAAATGCCCGACGCTAGCCTTGCCAAACCTATTAGCAGTCAATAAAACCCCATCAGCTATTTCATAGGCCAAGATTCTGTGAACCGGCCAGAACTCGGCCTCCCGTCGAACGTGTAGAACCTTTGAGGTCATGCCTCTCAAAAACTGGATACATTGTGATGTTAAGTAAGGCACTGAGAAGGTAAGGAGCAATAAGAAGGATTTCTGGGCAATCTCAGTCCTCAGCACAATGCATTATGAATGACACATTCGTGCGCGAAGAAACTTACTAGATTTGAGGCCTGAAAAACACTTCATGGCTTTTTTACACACTTTTTAGATTAGTTCACCCACCCATTTTCACATCCGCTTTTGTTCACAAGGGTCGCGGGCGTGCTGGAGCCCATATCAGCTGTCGACAGCTTTGCGCAGTCGGCAGAGTACACCCTGAACTGTTTGCAAGCCAATCGCAGGGCACACATAGACAAACAACCATTTGCGCTCACAATCACATGATGTTAAATGTCAACAACTATGTGAAGTATTTGCACACTTACTGTATTTGATATAGCAGTCAAACATAATGTACTGAGATGAGTAAAAGCCACATGTACATTTCAGTTCCGTGTTCATAATGTCAATTATATCTCCCCCTACGATGCGACCAGCATGGTCCCTTCAAAATATCCTAATCTCCCTTCAGACACAACGAAATGATAATCTACTCGAATGCAGTTGACCAACAATGCGATGACAAGAGGATTAAACCACCTTCTCTACTGGGGGTGGACAATTTATGGCCGCTGGGCGATTTACAGCCCACAAGAGCTATTGATCCAGCCCGCAGTGCAATTCTGACACTAAATAAAGCCTCAGAGGACATTATTGAAAAGCCATAATAATAAACACTTGCTTGAATATCGCATCATCAAGCAAGTGCCTTTAATACATTTTCCACAGCAGTGATCCTTAAGGCTTTAATTCTAAAGTGAGTTATAATATTATAGTGTTATTGGATATAGGTTGACCTACTTCGACAAACTGACCTTTGACACGTTGAAAAAAATACTTTGTGGCACGCAAAAGATTTGTATTCAAGTACTTTTGCTGGTCTATTAAGGCATTTAACCTTAAGTAGTTGTTCTATGTTCTCTCTTGCCGTCTTGTACTCTCCTCACTTCATTTTGCTCACCATGTGCCACCAAGATCCCTCATCCCCCCAATCAAGTCTGCAAATATCCATAAGAAGTTGGAATAGTCCATGGCATGAGGATGGGGGCAGTCCATGATGATAGATGTGGCGTTATGATGTGTTTTTAACAGTATTAATTAACACTTATAAAGGAGTAGTTTTTAAAGAGAAGTTTTTAATCAAAGAAAACATTTTTTTAATAGACATTTGGGGACACCTGAAAATCTTGAGGCTTCGTGCCAGTGTTTGCCTAATGGGGACATGTTATTTATTTCAGGTCGCAGGTGAGCTGGAGCCAGTAGTGGCTGACCTTGAGCCATGCAGCAAGTGAGGTACACTCGATGGTTCACCAGCCAGTCAGCATAGAACTGTGAAGCAGTCGTGCAAACCAGTTTAACGACGTTATGCCCGATGTCACTCCAAACATTGACTGCATATGACTATTCTACAAATATAGTTGCTTACCTCCACGTTTTTTACTCCTGGTCAAGCTCCGGACACTCCCTTGGCCGTCGCTCCTGCTCCTCCCCACGCAGCCCCCCATCACTGTACCTGCAGATATGCGTACACGAAATCACGTCCACATGCCTTTCAAATACAATTAAAGATGATGTTAAATATTTTGTAGTGTAATCAATCATGATGTGAGGGAATTGTGACAGCTCAGCGTGTTTCTGCTCGATCTGCCATGTTTACGTCACGTGTACTGCCAGCTGACCCAAGCACGCGCCAGGTCCACGAGCTTCTACCTTTCATATTTTGCACTATAGTAGTCAGACTTTTTTTAAACATTAAATCATGTATATAGATGTAGCCTATATAAAATAAAAATTGTTAATTCGTGAATTTACAACGACTTTTTTGGTAAAGTTCCACTTCTTCCTAATTACGCACCTGAAATCCAGTCTGCAAAATGATGCATTCGTCGGCAGTTCGCTTGCCACATCCAAGCTCCGATTTTTTTCAAGAGACCACGAAAATATCAAAAAGGGTCAGGTTGTACTACAGAAGCCTTCGGATTTGCACCATAGATTGTGTACAGATGAGAAAATGGACAAGAAAATGCAAAAGAAAAAAATGCTATTAATTCTCCACCGAATCCTGTAGAATAGAACAGACCTAAAAGAATACAAGAGGTTTGCATCGATAGATATTAAAGCCCGATCAGCGTTTGCGCATGCGCCATAAAGACCATTTCTTCAGGCGCTTCAGTTCGCTGAAGTCTAAGCAGCGTGGCTTTCAAAATAAAAAACTCAAATTTTGCTTAATCAGAGTACTGTGCCCAGGTATCAAATGTGAACGTAGATTATAAACAGTGAATAATATAAATAATCTTATAGACTATGGTCCATGTAAAATGTGCGTATAATTTATACGGAAATAATACCCAAAGTCTTATTTTTAAGGTTTTGTAGAGCATCCTCAACACGCCATTTGATGTGGCCGAGGCTTCAAGTATTTATTTTCGTTTTGTTTTTATCAAACCTAACAATATATTATGTTCGTTATTATAATAATGCGTCGGTGAATTCAAAAGATACCGATTAGAACAACAAATATTGCATTATTTGGTTAGGTTCATACAATTATCATGATAAAATTAATGTATCAGCTTACATAATTGTGAAAAATTTTCCAACAAAATTTGATTCATATACTTTATATTAATGACGTGTGTGTGTGTGTGTTAATTAATGAGGAGGTTTTGTTAATTTTTTTCTGAATATTTTAGTCTGTTCCTAACCTTGTACATTATTGATTTATTTAAAATATTACTACTGACAAAACATTTTCATTCAGAATCCAAAGTAAGACAAAATATTTGACTATAATGACAATACTGGTTGCAACATATTGAATGTCGTGTATAACTACCACGATTTATTTCTAATACCATGTGCTCAAACCTGGCATTCGCCTGATTTAATCCCACACTACTGGCATTGCATCGTGTGTGCTTGCACGTGTGTGTTCTGTCTGCCCCAACAATGTGGTGATGTAACAGATAAGGTGAGACCCTAAAATTAAATAAAATTCAAGAGACAGTTACCTTGTTTACTATTAGCAAGGTTCAAATGTTATGCATTACAAGTCAATCGGAATAAAAGGAACCACATGTGTAGTTATTTAAACAAGATTTATTAATTTAAACAAATAAAAACAATACAGATAAATAAAAACATTTTACTGTGGTGTTTATCTGGCACGTCAAGTACTATATTAGCTCAGGAAGGATATGAGCAGTTAAAATCATTAAATTATTGGCTTCAATTCAATCAAAGTGAATGATAAAATATCATACTCAGTTAGATTCCACAGTGTTTTTGAGGTATCCGAGGTTGTTATCACCCAATTTTCTTTACTTCCGCCAGGATCCATCTTGAAGCCAGCCTTAAAGTGGGGTACACACATACTGATCAGCAGGCCGAATTTGAACCGTTTCTGTGTTTGGAGTGATTTTTTTTTCCTCCCTGGCCTGCTCAGAAAACGGTCGGGGGTAAATTTTAAGCAGGTTGAATTTTTGGGAGATCACAATTCCTTACTTGTGTGGTGAACAAAGAAGTCAGCCGAACCACTGACTGTGATTGTGACATGAAATGGAATTAGTAAGCAACCTGTAGTTTGCATTGTCGGAAAAAAACAAAAAAAAACAAATCAAAGAGCAACTGATTGAGTTGAATGTTTGTAGAACATGTCTCACAAGCCATTCACCATAAAAACAGTGATCAGATCAGGTAATAGGTTTCTTCTTCTTTGGATTCTTCGGAAAACTGGATGCCCGGGGCCTCTGACAGGTCAGTCTTGGTACTATGCAGAAACCTGGTTTGGGAGAGGAAATCGTGTGCGTGTACCCCATTTAATGCAACATAGCAGCTTGACAGCTTAAACTAGTATTGGTTCTTTTTTGATAGGGTAGCTGTCCCACGTCAGGCCATCACCGAATGGTAGGTGAGCTGAGGGCAGCAGGACACGTGTGACCCAGTGACTGCGAGTTCACATGCAAACAGAGGTTAGATCAGGTGGTCACAGACAAATTAAAACAAACAACAGAGACAAAAACATCAGGAAAAAAAAAAACACACCTTCTCTTCTCCACACCGAGGAAGACTTTCCAGTTATGCAGCTTGCCGTAGTTGAATGGGTTTTTGTACACCTGACGCACAGTGTGAAGAGATAGTTTACACACTAATCGAAAAGGAAAACAGCCCTTACTCCCAGCGAGGATTCATCACAAAAACAATCGTTCAAAACACTCACCTGTCCCATTCTTTTCATTCGACTCTTTTCTTTTGAGTTGGTGTGCCGCTCTATGCTGGTTTCACCACGTGATATTAGAAGTGCGTGCCACGTGGTCAGTATTCCCAAGACCACTGCTACTGTGCTGAAATGATACAACACATTATATCAAACGTATTTTTCTGTATGCGGTACCACACACCCCACATTGTGTGGATGAAGTCAACCGAGCAAATTCTCCCTCTTCTGAGGTTGTCGCAGAGTCGTCACTGCTTGCTCTGCAGGCTAGTGTGTAGGGGAATTGCATCATGCTAGGACAGTGCTAGGGTGAGAGGTTACACACTCACTTCTGTCAGCCAGTTGTATTAAAGGCAAATTGTGCAGACTGGCAAGTTATTTGCATCTCATATAGTGTCATCTAATCATGTGATTGCAGCTTGTTGTGTTGCCGTGCGGAAGCACAGTCGCGGCTTCACTGGGATTTGTTTAAAAACGCTGAATGAATTAGAAAAAAAAAATGATACCACAATCAAAGAAATTATATATGATGAGAATATATGCGTGTAATGGTTTGATTCAATTTTAAAATTGCCTCACAAGCTTGATCAAAATTTATCTCGGGCTGCATGTTATCTGTGTGCCGTAAATTGTACCATTACAACATCAGCGATGCTACTTGAACACTTGATCATGAAAAAAGATTTTACCTGGTGAGCACCCACATGTAGATGATGCCCTTATCCATGATCTTTTCCTTGAAAGAGTATGGAGGCGCAGGTGTGGCATAGTCAGTCTTAAAAAAAACAAACAAACCCAGAATCAGTAAATGAAACGAAAAGAGAAACACTTGTTACTGGGTATGATAAGTTAGTACCTGGCCAGTGGGGAGAAGCCCTATTAAAGGTCCCATCCCTGTTACGGGAACCCCTGCTTTTTCCATTTCCAAATGCTTAAAACGCTAAAGCAGCAGCCCACGAATACCAAGCCCAGCATTTAAAGACACCCCAAGGAGAAAGGCAGTCACAGTAGAAAAGCATCAGGGGACATAATCAGGAGCTCCAAGCAGTTTAACAAGGTGAAACGGCGCATTCATTCACCTCAAGGGCATTGTACGCAGCCAGGAAACGGATTCTGCCGCTCAAGCTGCAGTAGATACAGCCCAACGTCATGAAGACGCAGAAGGAGAAGAAATAACGGTGATTCAAATGACCGACGCAATTATTCAACCAGGCTGAGTGGAAGACATTAAGTATGAAAACGACTCTTGTGCCACTGTGGGACTTTACACACTGGACGTGAGAAAGGATACGACAGTGATGGTCCATTTTGAGAATACACCTGCACAAGGAAAGGAGTGTCACTGTCAGTTATTTCCTTGCTTGATCAAATGAAGGTGGCTAACAACAGAAAATATTGACAGGATTTTGATGATGATGTTGGCAATGCACATATAAAATCAGATATAACGTCTCACAAATGGCTTTTGGTGGAAATATAATTCATGTTTTCAGAATGTGGGAGGAAGCCGGAATACTGCAGAGTGATTTTTATTTTTTTGCATGTACAGTATATCATTTTTTAAGAATATTAAAGACCATGTCAAGCAGGGGTCTCAAAAGTGTAGCCCGGCGGCATTTGCAGACTCCACGATGACATTTTGCAGCGCTTTTGTTCTAATGAGAGGTTATGCGGCACAACTGCAACTCGCAATTAAATAATGATCTACAAAGTATGCCGACACCCCAAAAACATTGAAGTAGCCACTTGAGAGTGCCTCACTGTTGGCTGAGGTGGGAAATGGAAAGTCCTTTGGACTTTGGACATTCAACAGGCATACCCACAGCATTTGAGAGTGCAGACAATTGCTTGTTATTTTATAAAATATTTTATAAACTTGGCATTCCAATTTGGCATGGTTGCTTTTCTTGCAAGTGCATCAAATTTAAAAGACATATTTGTTGTCAATACAAAGGGAATTTAAGGGATTATACTTGAGTCATGTCTTAGGTCAAAATGACTGCATTGTTTCCTATCAAATAATAATAATTGTATTTCGAGACTTTGTAGAACTCACCTGTTGCAGATACCGCAGTGATGCGCTCTCGCTGGTTTCGGAATGACACATTTTTTGCAGACAGATACAAAGGGAATGTCATTTTTTTCCTGAAAGAAACCAACAACATTCGGGAAACATTGCTTGAGCTAATCCATCATGAGGAATAACTTGTGTGTCAGTCTTACAGAAGGCGGGTGCCCTGGGGCGGTCTTGACGGCCTTGTAGTAATGAAAGACGATCATGACTAGGTTCCAGTGTCCGTAACAAAGGTGCCAGACTAGCCATGCGGTAGGATATGTCCTGAGTGCATTAGGCAAAAGGACGATGTAGGCGACCAGCAAGATGGAGGTGGTCAGTACGACCACCATCCACACAAACACCTTATGAGCAAAAACAAAAGCAACATTTAAGGCGAGAAGCTCTTCGTATTGTACTAGAAATGCAGAGCTTTCTAACTACTGTCCCACCATCAAGACCAACATTTTAAATACACGAACGTAGTGTTCATCAAAAAAGGAGGCAGCAGTTTAATTCCGACAAAGTAAAAAGCATATTTACTCTTGCAAGCCAATGCCAATGGCAGTTAAATAATGATTCGATTAAAATGTACCTCAAATAAAAGTTACATTCGCCCCCAAAAAAATTTCCCAGTGTATTTGCTGGGTCCGATTAAATGAGCATGCACTTACTTACCAAGCCAAACGAGCGTGTAAGATAATCCACAGTCCATAACAAAGGCTCAAACAAGGAGTCAAAAACCACGTTTGAATCTGTGAGCGAGTTATAAAAAAGTGAGTGCAGCAATAGTTTCAAGTAGGCCTGTATTTTCAACATCCACAGAGGCAGCTGGCATCCTCGTCTCCTGGGACACAGCCGCAACAGCATCCAGCGCAACAGGTGCACGAGAGAGCCCGGACACCACCGCCGCCGCATCCTGCACTTGGAACAACCAATCACCTGCATCGAAGAAACACACACACACACACACACACACACACACACACACACACACACACACACACACACACACACACACACACACTCAAAATCAGCGGAGATGATTCAGGAGATTTACTGCTGCCGTTGGTTTATTTTGTAGCTTTTGTCCTTGATTTTGTAGATGATAAAAACAGTCACTATGACTGTGGGGCGGGGTGTCTGAGATTTCATTTTATATCACTCGACCCTGTGCTGTATTTGAGTCCACATCTTGGAGATCCAAGTAAAGACTAGGATGCACTCTTCTTGCACTATGCTTATGTGGAGAATGTAGGCACTCGTTTGTCTCGAACTGTGAATTGGCAGCCTGTTTGCTTAAAACGCTGTCTGTAAACTACAGTTAAACACTTTTATGACACCTGCAGCTTTCACAGGTTGGGTTTGAGTTCCACTGAAAAGAGGCTGAAAACCTTGAGACCAGTTGAAAAGTGTCTTAAATAAAGTGCCTCACAGACACTAGTGTTAACGCCACTGACATAAAGTGGATTTTCAAGACAATGGAAGGTAATCTCCTTAAACCCTAAGAAGCGTCTTTTAAATCCTTTGAAAATATTTGTGAAACTGTGCCTAAAACGAACAGACGGACGACGGAGCCGCAATCTGACTGATCATCAGCTCCAACTTTGATAGGCTCCAGCATACCTGCGATTCTTGTGAGAATAGTTCAGATAATGGATACATGGCTGGATGTTTGGTTGTTTGTAGGGGTGTTCTGAAACTTTTTTTTTTTCACTTCAGGGACGACACCAATATTTCAACCGAAAGTACTGTCTGATACCGATCTCGATTAGATACAGTCTTGATCAAGTGATACTATAAAGAATAGTCAGCAACATTAGGTATGAGAAAAAAAATATCCATTTACTCCAAACATTTGGGTTACATAATTTTCAATTTCAAACATGAGAATGTACTGCACTTAAATAAAATAAATACAAAATAAATTAAAGGACGATGCTGGACAGAAGAGCAGGATCGGCGTTTGGAATGGATTGCTTGTACTGTTTATAAGCGCTAATATCTGAGGTTTTGAATGGAGACCAATATAATCCGATAGTTTTTTGGGCTTATATCGGACTGATATCGATATCAACATTGGATCGGGCGGGGCAGCACAAGTATTTTGGTATAACCTCTCTTTCGTCTTTATGTGACATCCTCGTGAGGATAAGCGGCTCGGACAATGAATGGATGGCTGTACTCAGTGCGGGCATGGTCTCCCTCTAGTGTTATGTGAAAGAATCCCTGAATTTAATTTTCAAACTCTGCAGTGTTTTTAACTCAATACAGGCCACATGTGTAGTACAGTTAAGTTGTATTTAACTTCAGCATACAATATTTACAGTATTTTTCTTTTCTATTTTTTCGGGTGGCACTTGTAAAAAATAAGCGACATGATAATGGATGGATGACTAAATGAAGCGTGGCTGTGGTGGCGCAAGGTCATTAATGACATAAACAAGTCTGACAAAGACCTAATCATGTTTAACTGCATTCCAGAGAGGGTGGAGTCGGAGGCTTTGTGATTTTCTGTGCCAAATTGTCTGCAAGCGGACTTGCTTGATTTACATGATAAAAAAGACACTAGTAGTCGTTGAGTTGGACAGTTACACATCGACAACTGGGGGCGGTTAGGTTTGCTCGTGCCCCATACAGACAATGCATTTTAAAGTCATTTCCATGGGCATTTTGCATTAAACGGACAGCAACCAAACCCCCCTCGATCTGGCCGCTTATAGGTGTCATTCCTGTGCTGACAATTAAATAGGTGCACATCGTAAGTCTCGCGAGCGACACGTTTTTGTGGAGAGGTACTCACTTTTTTATGAATGAAAAACCTGGTGAAATACATCCTCCAATCGACATTTTCAAAAGGGCGACCAAACCAGGATTATTGACATTAAAAAAACAACGGGTTGCCGGATAAAACACAGGTCGTGTGATAGTTGAGCTGGAGCTTGAGCTGCTGAGCTGCTGCGCATGCGCGAGAGTCTGGCGAAAAGCATCATGGTCAGTAGAGTCCGGATGTCATGCCCCGGTGACATTATTGCTCCACGTTCAGCACCACTACACGCCTTAAAATTTACAAAAATACAACCACGGTATTATATACAATATCCAAAGAATTGTTTTATAATTTCACACTTGGAGTCTAGATTTGTCGCTTATATCTCAGTGAATTCTGGGAATTGAAGTGCCGCTGCTGGCAATCGCGCAGCCAGGCATGTGCGGCGAGCTCGAAACGTGGCTAGTGGCTATCAACCAGCCAGCTTTCTAAACCAAATCGAGCTTTCAGTTGCGAGTCAATATGTCGTTTTGTTTTAATTTTGACTTAAGTGCAACGACAAACACGGACGACGTCCAGGGGAAAACATCGTCAACTGACAAGATTGACATTGTTGCGAAACCTGTAAGTACAAGACAAATGCTATTTTCTAAAGTCGTTCGTCTGATTGACTGGCATCACGACGTATTATAATATGGGTGCTTCCATCATGAATAGTTTGGATTATTACAACTATGAAATATGTGCTAATGCTTGCAATGTCCAACTTTAGTTTCAAGGTGGCTGTGGTGGAAGACCGGTAGTAAATATGGTGTTTGGACATGTTAACTATATCCAAACGAAAATATTACTTTGACAAATTTCGAATACTAGTCAAGATTTCCAGTCGTGCATATTTAGATCAACACATTAAACTTTCATCCACTAGAGCGCGTCCACTCACAGACTGTTAATCTACTACAAAATACGCCCCACTAATAAGGTGAATGTCAGTTATGGCTCGTGATAATTATCAGATACGTAAATAGTTGAGGGGAAGTGAGCTGTTTACTGTTATGGCTGACAAGCACTCTTTGGAAGGGGTCAAAGTCATGATGTATTAAAAAAAAATCCCAATTTGTTCTGTCTGACTGGTTGACAAATCATCAACTCATGACGTGCTGACTTTCCTCCTATCATTCATTCAGTCACATGAACGATAAATTTATAGCACTTATCATTAGTGTAGTGAGTGCGCTGGAGCCCGTACTGGCTGGCTTTGAGCAAGCGTTTCATGAAAAGCTGTCAATGTAAAAGTTATTGTCCAAAAATATCATTTATTTAAATCGTGATAATAAAAAATGGTAATCATGTGTCATAATTTTTCTTAATTGTGTTGAGGGAAGATATGGGAGTTGTAATAATGAAGACACTTTTTTGTTTCAACAATTATGCAGGATTGCTGTGTAAAAGAAGCTTTTGTGTATCCCAACTGAATCAATGCATGTTCCGCATTACTGCCTTATTGCTTTGTATTTTTTAGGTAAATGAAAGTGGTTGCCCAGCAGAGGCAGTAAAAGAGGCCAAAGAGCACTTTCCACCATCTGATTCTCTCCACTTACTTGATGACGCCATTTATGAAACCCTCACCATTGGCACTCTTCCTCCCTTGCACTTTCTCAACGAGACAGTTTTTGAGAAGACCGTCTATGAGAGGGAGGACACGGAGAACATTCTGTGCCGCACGGCCGAGCAGAGGTCTGACCTCATCTCGGGAGTGTATGAGGGCGGATTGAAGGTGTGGGAGTGCACATACGACCTCCTGGAGGTAATCGAGAGGGAAGGCGAAACGTTTGGCGGCAAGGCTGTCTTGGATCTCGGCTGTGGCACCGGGCTTTTGGGAATTTTGTCTCTGAAGAGAAAAGCCAGGGAAGTCCACTTCCAGGACTATAACAGTACAGTCCTTGAACAGCTCACTGTGTCTAATGTAATTCTCAATTGCCAAGATGATGACTGTGATAATGATGATGATGATGATGACAGTAAAGGAAAGAATAAGGGAACAACGGACAAGGAAGAAGAATGTAAGATAAAACTAAAACATGACACAAGAGATCTTTTCCTGCAAAGGTGTCGGTTCTTCTCTGGTGACTGGCGCACCTTTCTTATTTTGGCCTCGAGTCAGGACCCATCGTTGAAATATGATATTATCCTGACTTCAGAGACAATCTACAACACAGCTTATTACCCTGCGCTACACGACACCTTTCATAAACTTTTGGCACCGCGTGGGCACGTCTATGTGGCCACCAAGTCCCACTACTTTGGCGTGGGTGGTGGTTTACATCTCTTTGAGACTTTTGTGCAGGAAAGGGGGGTTTTCTCTCTGAATCACCTGTGGGCTAGTGAAGATGGACTTCAGAGACATGTTGTTGTTTTGCGTTTTAAAAAAGAATCACACTAGCTCACGGCGGGCCAAGTGAAAACAGGCCAACCCGTACAAAGATGCCCACAACAAATATGCCTATATTACAAAACTAAAAACACATTTTAAAAATGCCAATTCGTACTTTTCTTCAATTCGATTTTTTTTTACTAAAATATTTAAAATAAATGCAGTGTACTTTTCAAAAGTTTGGAGTCGGAATTTTTTACAGTGACAATAACAAATTAACCAGAAAAACAGTCTAGACCAGGGGCTCACAGACTGGGTGCCCACGGGAACCAGGTAGTGCCCAAGGACTACATGAGTAGCCTACGAGCCTGTTCTCAAAAGCTTACCGCCCTGCTTTGAATCTCACAAAGAACTTTGCCTGCCTGTCGGACCGCTATTGGAATTTGAAATAATGAAATATAGAAATATTTGTTTCTTTAAAAATAGTAGCATCTACAGTATATGCCATGCATTTTAAGTTTGAGTGTATTTTTGAAATGGAAAACCTCTGAAGATAGTTAAAAATTGACTGACACGTGAGCCACACGTCCTACTGTGTATTCAAACATGTTTAATAAAAAAATTGATTGACATGATTACTGTTTTTTTTTGTTTTTTTTTAACCGTACCTACTCGATATAGATATGTTCCAGTAAGTGAGGAGCAGTTGAAAGGGGGGCAGTTCCAGGTCTATTTAGATGCACTGGCAGGAAAGAAAAGGAAATGGGCTCAGTGACCTTTGTGAGTGATTTCCCCCATGTTCAAACAGCAGTATGAAAGCCAGGCTTGTTTCTGAAGTCCAACACAAAATGTCAATTGCAACTTATCCGGCTGCCCGAGGATGTTGCTTGAAAGAGGATTTGGGCATCACGGTAGGTCTGTGGTCGGTCTCTGGGGGGTCTCCTGTAAGAGTATGTCTGGAAAAGGGTCTCTCTCTTTTGTGATCTGCTCCTTCTGTGGGAAAAAAAAAGTCGAATTAAAAAAAAAAAAAAAAATCCCAAATCTTGGGTGTGGTTTGTTTAAAAGCCACAAGATGTGACACATGCTGATGCCGGCTACATCAAGGTTCAAGGTTCAAGGTTCAAGGTTCAACTTTATTGTCAAATATGCATACATTGACATGTAGCATGGATGAAATTTATTTCTCTCAATCCTCAGCAAACAGTGAAAGACAATGTAGTCTAAAACAGGATAAACATATAGACGATATATACAATAAAAGACGATATATACAATAAAAGCAGCATAAAACAATGGCACTTGAGGCTATTGAGGATAAAAGTGACATCCTGGAAAAATGCAAATAGATATCCAGGAAATGCAGTGAAGTAACCTGTTGGGGCCTTTTGTTTAGAAATATGTATCAAGACTGGTCTTGTTGATAGACATTCGGAAATGATTTTTGACTTCATGATCTGCTTCTCTGTTGTGTCCATTTGACACAACACAATCATAGGAGAAAACAAAAGTGACCCAAACAAGAATAAACAGCCTTTTACACTAAAACACCTTTTTTTTTTGGGGGGGGGGGGTAATGGTATTTCTGTTCTGTATTAACAGCTATAACAAGAAACGGCAGGTACAAAGTCGTCCCAGCAATATCCAGCGTATTTGAGCCGTAATGTAGGGAATGCCAGGGCAATGGTGTGAAGGGTGACAGTTTACACACACACACCCGACCCCCGTTGTGTTGAAAGCACTCGTACTGTATCTGTTATCATATCTGGTTGTGGTATTCTGTGCCGCTGTGTGAAAGCATCCACTGTTGAGGAATGCCCCATTTTGCTGGATTCTGTTTAAAAAGGCACTGGCAGGTAATTGCCAAATCCTGTTTTATATTTACTCTAGTCACTGGGGGGGTTCTGAATTCTTGTTTCCTTGTCACTATCCTATTGAGCAATAATGTTGCTGCTGGAGTTGTGCCATAGCAGAGATTTGCGTAGATGTAACTCAACTTTTCCACAGCCGATGTCATCATCCAGTTGTTCTCTGGACCACAACACGGACCTGCAAAGATCTATTCTTCATGACTGATTTTCAATACCCCATCCGCCCACACAACTCGCATATTACGATTAGAACAGTACTAATAAGAGCAGCAACACTGGTTATTCTCAGACACCATTAGTGAACAATTGATTCCTATAACAATCCCCATACTGCCCCCCCCCCTCAAAACCAAAAAAAAAAAAAAACATTACACAACTACAATGATCTGCTATCATTTCCAAATGACTGAATATTTTGCTTTCCAAGTCCGAGTCTCGAGTTTCGGTTTGCACACATTGGATCAGGGTGTGCGCCTACTTCGTCATCGTGGCGTCACAGCCTGACAGCTGTACGCAAGCCTGTGGGGGAATTCCTGACTCCAACAGTAGACGCAGCCTTTCCCCTTCTTTACTTTATGAGAATAGAGGTCAGGGCCCGTCAGATGGTTTTCCTCAGAAACTATTATGTGTTGATTCACGGTGTGGGGGCGTGCTGTTGACTCCCACTGTTTCCTCCTTACTGGGAAGTGACTGGTGAGCTTACCGAACAGGGGGAGTGCGTGAATAACCGACGTGAGGAGGGCGGGCTGGAGGGAGGTAAGCCGGCGAGTGATGCGAAACATGATGGTATTTAAGGTCGGGGCAGAATGTCAAGTCACTACACTGTTCAATGAGCTACGGAGCAGACAGCGGAGACGACTTACGTTGGTGCATTTTTGGAAAGCAGATCCTATTGAGAACTGAAATGTAACATTTCTGACTATCCAAGAGATTGACGGGATGCACTTGACCAAGAGAGGCAAGTATCAAGGGTGAAAACTAATTTGACTCATTTTAAAGAGTCACAGAGGAAAGAGTTCATTTATACAAAGGTATTTAACTCACCTGAACTTTATCCTGATGACAGCATAGAGACCTCGCCATGTCTTCATCAAGGATTTAGGTTGTTGAACCGGTTGTTTGGCACTTTTGCTATCGGAATATTTGTCATTTCCTGGCCATGCTCAGGTGTGGCCTTTCTTCGATTGTATTGCATATCCTCAAAGACAATGTTCTGAATGACTCTTATCTTATCAGGAACTACACTATGTCACTCTGCAGCGAATCCAGTCAATGAATGAATGAGTTTTGTTTGTGAATGTAAAACTTCCTCATAGGATTTTAACTACAGTCTTGAAGCTGGTTTTCCCGAGCGTGAAGTGCTTGTAATTTTTGAGTCACATCGTCCGGTGACAAGTGCCATCAGTGCTTGCATCAGCTTATCAGACAGAGACTGTCCTTTTGGTAATAGTGAACCATTTCCAAGAATAAAGAAGAAAAAAATGCTGATATTCACATTGCAGCCTGCTGTGATATTCAGCAGGCTGCAATGTGACCGTAATTTCACTTTCGTTTCGTATTTATGATGAAACGGAGGATATTTTAAAATGATAGTTCGGGTGTGTAGTATATTGTAAAAGGTCTACGATCCAACTTCATGTATCTTTTATTGTCATTTATTTGCCACTATTGAGGAGAGTAAGTCAGGATTTTATTGGCCTCTGTAAAGTATTTATCAGTCAGGTACTTAGTACACATTGTATTGCCAATACTTTGTCATCTTCAATGAATCTCATGTTTTTTGAGGACCTCATTTTCAAATGTGCTCCACTATGAGAACTGAATTCCATAGATGGTAGCATCTTCAGGTGTCATCTATGGGCTCAGTTCTTTTGGCATGGCACTAACAACGACACAGCAGCAGAGAACGGAAATACATGTCAGAGGTACTGTATATTTCTTGAAATACATGTAATGTAATCATCTGTTTTATATTGATGTGAAATAAAATTCATCACTTTCTATGTATTTGACATTTGTTGTGTGACATTTTTCTGACTGACATTTTTCAAAGAGTACTAACTTTCTTACACTGATGTAATGTCAATTCATTTGAAGCAAAAAAGTAAGGAACATCACAAATTGCATTCATTGATTGTCAATGAACAGCTTGTTCATGATGAGAGATCGATCTCTGGTTAGGTAGCATTTTCAATTCACCATTTACACATGAGGGCATGTGACACTTTCATCCCCATTCCAACAGTTAGCTAACCTTACTTACTCAGAATGCCATACGTCTTTGATGTTCAATAACCCATCACTTAGTTTAATAGCGAAATCTTCAAATTCGCAATTCTCAAATTCAACCTTCCATATGGCAATATGGTCATAATGCCATTGGAAAATCATTTCACGTAATATTTTTGGGGTGGTGGCACATTGCAGCCTACGCCCCCAACCCCGGAAATGCTCTGTGAGGCAGGTCATATTACGCTATGGACAATTAAATAATTCAACAAACCAAACTTACTGTCTGTTTTTGCAGTGTGCGAAGAGTACCTCGAAATAACAGATACAAGCCCAAGATCTCAGAACTGATATGAACTAACTTTATGACAACCAAGAGCACATTTTGGGTAGTGATTAATGCAAAGGCTACCAGTTTTGTACACACTTCTGAAAGAAAATAACAGATTTAAAATTATGTTATCAATTCTAATTTACTAATTAAGGATATTGAGATATGCTTTATGCTAACCACTCGGCAACTGTGCTTCCCATTCACATTCAAAGCAACTGCGAAATTCCTACAGTATACAGTAGGCGTTGGACAACAACCTCGTCAGAATTATCTACAGTGAAAGCGAGAATATGATGCATATTCGTCGATTTTACTAAATAATAAACGGCAAACTACAAATTTCTCTCATTCGTTCATGGCGACGTCGATCTAAAACGTCACTACGCACTACTGACCAATCGCTAACGTTTTCGGAGAGGATGCTGAACAGGCTGGGCCCCATCTGGGCGAAGCACATATTAAATCCATAACGCCGCTCATGTGAGCCCTTTTTAGTGTAGTGAAACGCATGTTATCCGAAGAGCGGTAGTTCGTTTGGAATTGTCTCAGTCACATTGTGGTTTGTAGCTTAATAAGGTTCTTTTCGTGGCCGTGGCATGGATGAAATACGGCCTAACAGCGGTGCCCAGGCGCACGGGCTATCGTCACTGTTTCCCCCGGGATTGCAGGCTATCTACGGGGAATGTCGGCGACTTTATCCCGATCAAGCAAACCCGCTACAAGTTACAGCCATTGTCAAATACTGGTTGGTAAAAACTTAGTCTTTTGTTGTTAATATGTTCAGATCGCTTGAATTGTGCCCAGTGGTTGTGGGTGTAAAAAGTTAGCCTCGGAGCTAACGCAGCAGCTGAACGTTCTATTCCAATGTTTCCGAACGTAGAACTGGTCAGTTTCACGCAAGCCTAACAAGCTTCGCAATAAAAGCATAAAATGCTTATTCCATTGTTTGTCCGCGCTCGTTGCATGGCCATATATGTTGGTTCACTTTGTATGAAAGCGTAAACCCGGGGCAATGCGTGACATCATTCAATGGATCATTGTGTTTTGTTGCAGGTTAGGGGGTCCAGACCCGTTAGACTACATTAGTATGTATCGAAATACGGGGTGTCCAGCTCAGGACGTCCAGGAGCATTGGCACTACGTCAGCTTTGGTCTCAGCGATCTGTATGGAGACAACAGGGTTCACGAGTAAGTAGTAAAGGAGGCTACCGTTGTTTACAAGTTTGGAAGGTCGGGGATGTATAGCCGACTTGATTGGACCATTTTATTCCATCATTATTTTACATATTTGGGGTATAATTCATCAATGAGTTATTATATATAACTATAATGCAGTTACACACAAATATTACTGTCGTATAATTAGACTAGTTATTACTTATTGTATACCCACATGTCATGCAAAGGCGATAACCATATTTTCACGACCAGAAGAGGCACATAAAAGTCTTAAATTTTCTCCAAAATGGACGGGGCGCCTAATAATGTGGGTCGCCTTGCACAGAGTTCCAAAATCTTTAAATGCTGTTTTGTGACTTCGATGAGGACTCCGCTTGACTGACTGATGTTGTGCGGACACACTTCTTATGTAGAGGAAAGGCATACATAACTGAGGGCAGCATACGGATTTTAAAGTGGGAAGGGTGGTCGTGAAAGAGGACGCCAAAGGCACGCACGCAGTGGGTGTAAATAGTGCCGGTAAGTGCATTGTGCAAAACAACACCGCAAAAATGGCACCTATGAAGGCATGCTTAAGAAGCTATGGCAGCATGGACAGTAACTACGTTAACCTGACCTTGGCATGTCTAGATCAATAAATAAACAAAATATACATGTATAAAAACTTAAACTCTCCACTCAGTAACATCAGAAATGCTGAAGTGTAGGGAGAACACGGTTATACCTTTATGTTTATGTGACATAATATATTTTGATTTCAAACATGGATAAATGCATTACAGGCATTACAAAATGTAAAAGATGAACATAGTTGTCTATATCTAAATACAAATTAAAATACAGCTCCCCCGCTCCCCAGTTCTCAACACCTCCTGTATGTCCTCCTAATTAGCATGTTCTTCATTATCTCACCACAAGCTGTTAATTTGGATTTGCATTGTGCCTATGACAAGATTTGTGCATATGCGTGGGACCTGAAAGCACAACTGCTGTTTTATGTCTGACCACGTGTGTTTGTGTCAGATTCACAGGAATAGACAAACCCAGCGGCTTTGGCTTCGAGCTCACCTTTCGACTGAAAAGAGAGATGGGGGAGACGGCCCCGCCCACCTGGCCGGCTGAACTCATGCAAGGCTTGGCGCGCTACGTCTTCCAATCGGGTGAGAAGCACAGCACACTGATGGGCCAAACTACAGTCAGCCATCATTAATATTAATCATCAGAGGATGAATCTAAAATGAAAAGCTTCTATTTTATGTCCCATGTTGTACTTAAACTGTGGGAGGGAATTCTAAAAATGTCAACAACCGCTGTTGCCATATCACCATTTCGCCATTTGCCAAATGTTAAGAATCTACTCTTTGTAATTGTAGACACTATTTCATCCAAATGTGTATGACTGGAAATGGCTGCTTCAGGTTCCCATAATAGTTGAATCTTTTGAACCATGGATCAACTGACAGTTGACAGATGAATCGAATCTTGAAAAAAAGTTTGTTGCAGGCAGCCTTAATTCAATGTAATTATCATCAAATGTCATGTAATGTGCCTCACAAATCTCACTTTTAAATGTATCATGGTCTCACTGTACCAGTTTTAATGGCCTTAATCACTTTAGCACCTCTGATATCTTATTTTATTTTGATCAATATTGTCAGTCTGGTCAAGTAAATGTCCCTGTTTAGCCTTTTAGGACATGACAACAACCCAAACATGTAAATGCTAAACGGTTCTTTCTTTTAATTTGGGTTGTGGTCTAGTAGGCTACTTACAGTCGGTTGTTTGTTTTAATTAGTTCTCTTTTAGTATATTTTTTTTTTAGTCGATGGTCTATTTGACAATAGTCTGATATGTTGATTTGATTTCCATGTGCTTTTATGACCATGTTTATTTTGTACTGAGTTGCCAGGTCAGAGAGATTTGATGTTCTTTTATCATTGTAGCTAGGATGATCAATTTTTTTTGTGTTTGTTTTTGAAGTTGCCTTCACCTGTTCTGCTCTGTGGTTACATATGTCCCAAAAAAAACCCCAATATACATGTGCATAGTTGGTCCTATAGGCCAGGGTGGGTGACCAACACGTGGCTATTTGGGATGAAGATTTTGTTCGGTGTCCGAATTGTAAGACTGTTGAATTTGACATTTGAAGTTCCGCTGTCAAATGTGCACACATCATGCCAGAGCCTTTCTAAAAAGGTATAACATTGAAAGGGACAAAGAGACGTTTTGATCAATTCTGGAAGAGGCCCGTTCTCTCCAGTCTCATCTCTCAGCCCTCCAGCTGGGATCAATTTGCTCGTGGGTGGGCCTGGCGTCTGAGCTCAGCGAATACTGATCTGCCCCGCCCCCCCTACATGTATACCCCATAGCCAAACGAAACTTTGTGCATCCTACCTCCCAAGCAGATGCAAATGTAAAGTGACGCTTTTCTTGCCATGAGGTGTCAACTTTTACTCTTGATTGTTCTCTTTGTCCGTTACTGTAGTGTTAGTGTTAGTCTTTGAAGTTGGCACACTCGCAGCCCCTCACCGGTGATCTAAATGCAAACTAACACACATGAGTGATGAGAATTTATCTTTTCGCGCCCTCACAGAAAACACGTTTTGCAGTGGCGACCACATATCATGGCACAATCCCCTAGACAACAGCGAGTCTCGCATCCAGCATATGTTGCTCACGGAGGACCCTCAAATGCATCCCATTCAAACTCCTTTTGGCACCGTCAGTTTCCTGCAGGTGGGTATGAATGTTTCATGGCATAGACAAGAGTTGGGCCATTAATTCAATGTACGTTTTTCAGAGCGATATATAGGTTTTTTTGGTTTGTTTGCTTGTATTTTTTTTTTTTCTGGCTTCTATTGGTCCAAGCGCATCGCTGCTGATTTGTATTGCTTCTACAAACATCCTAGCTCTGAACAGAAAAATGCCAGTTTACAAAAGTACAGCCAGTGATGCGAATTTAGCAATTTAGGGACTCTAAAGAGCGCCGAGCTAATAAACAGACATGAGTGGAATTATTTTCATATTGTTTTGCACATGGCATGACAGGAGCCCGTTGAAGATAGGGACAGAATCAATTGTACCCATTTGTTTTTTTGGGGGATTATGTTTACATACCTTTTTTCACCCAGGAAGCACATACTGTACTTTCACATTATGTCTAAGGAAAAAAAAATTCTGGGAAGTTAACGCCTGGAAAAAAGCAATTTCTTGTTTGTTATCAGAGAGAAAACCAATTCCAGAAGAGAGAGGAAAACAATGATAAAAATAGCAATTTTTTCTAAATGACATTGTCTTGTCATTGGCATTTTCCATAAACTGAAGGTGGGAAATAGATTAAAATCAGATATCACACTATTGCCATAATAAATCTGAAATTTTAAGAGTGTATCGACCGACCTTTGCATCGATTTATCATCAAGCATACCACAATCTCACATGTTGTACTGTGGCTGGCAGATTGTGGGCGTTTGTACAGAGGAGCTGCAGGCGGCACAGCAGTGGAATGGCCAAGGCATCTTGGAACTGATGCGAGGGCTTCGAGTGTGAGTTGAACTCAAAGGCAGCTTAATAGCTATAATTTCCTGGGAAAAAAAAATGTAGTTTTCAGTATCTCTGTGGGTCAGTCCGACAGGGGGAATCGTCAAGTCATTTGACACAACTGAACACCAAAAAACTACTGCATTTAAGAGTAGAAATACAAGTTATATTTTCATGTTCTCTTCCTAAAGTGGAGAAAAACACATTCTTTTAAGTGAAAAATGTCGTCTTGTCGAACTGTTCATGATTGCTGTTGTGTATGTAGAGCTGGCGGTCCCTGGCTGATCACAGACATGAGGAGAGGGGAGACCATCTTTGACATTGATCCACATCTACAAGTAAGGCTGAATTACATTCTGTCCGCTCACCTAAGGTGACTGAGTAAGGGTTACATCAAAATTAACGGTGGGACACATTATTTTTATTGCAGTATATTTCAAAATTCGAGACATTGATATTGGCACCGTGCAAGATCAAGTTGTCCCTTCCTGAGGAATGGGTGTTGTGATGCATACTTGTTTTTCATAAAAACTGAAATGGCCCCAAATAAGAAAAAGGGTCACCTTCCATTTTAAAACCCTTGTTTGTGACTCGACATGAGTCTGAAGCGCCCCCTTTTGGTGCCACAGCCGCCCTACAGGCCTAGTGTTGATGATTGCGTCTGCCTTGCTCATCCAAGCAGGAGAGAGTGGACCACGGCATCGAGACGGAAGGCTCCAACTTGAGCGGGGTCAGCGCGAAGTGCGTGTGGGACGACCTGAGTCGACCGCCAGATGACGACGAGGACAGTCGGTCCATTTGCATCGGCTCGCAGCCTCGCAGGCTCTCTGATAAAGGTGCTTCTTTTTGGGCATGTGTTTGCGCTGCATGATGGGAGCATTCCGCGTTGACCATTTGTGTTGCTTTGACAGACACAGAAAAGATCAGGGAGACCTTAAGGAAAGGCCTGGAGTTTAACACCAAGGCACCACTGCCCCCCATCGGCAGCCAGAGACATGACAGACCTCAGTGAGTGTACACGCACGCACTGGTTGGAATCTTTTTTTCTGTCAGGGGCCATTTTAGTTCTCATCGTCTTGCAAGGGCCGTATTCTACTATTTAAAAAATGTAATGCAATGATGGAACAACCGTTCTTACAAAGTCGAACCTCGTTACGAAGTACCTCGAGAGACATAACGAATCTGTCCCTTATAATGGTAGTACGCTGAAACTATACAACCAATACATTGACTGGAGTGGTATCTCGCCTTAAGAGTGACCCGAGTTTTTCGCGATACAAACCAATGATTAGATTTTTTTTTTTTTTAATTCGCAATAATTTGATTTACAAGCATTCAATGGCAAGCAGCGGTTTTTCAGACGGTGTTTTTTTTCAAAAAGCCTTTTAAAGTGGACTCACAGATTTTGTTGGGATAGGATGCAGGAGGCCCACAAAATCTGCACATAAATGACAACCATGAAAATGCATAGGAGAGGAGGGGGGAAACACTTTTGTAACCAAGAAATTATTCAAAAAGCGCTGCTAAATATTCAATATGCATTTCCCCTAAAATGGGCGACATGGAGCAAAAAAACCCAAAAGTATTTTAAAAAATGTTGGGGAAAAAAAAAAGAACAAAAATCGAAAAATGGGAATCCACGGGTGCCCAAACCACAAGTACATGTGGGCTCCACTGTATTGCCACTGAATTGCGAGCGTGGCCACGGAACAAAGTCAACTTACAAGTCAGGGCACGAATATACTGCAGTGCTTCTTCAAAAAAACGTGTCGAACTGGTGTACTGTGAATCCCGGTTGCACAGAAGCATTTCCGAAACACCAATTGTTTGTGTCACGCAGCAACTTCCTCACTGTGTATTGAAGGACTTCACACTTCCTCACTTATATTTCCTTTTTTTTTCTGCCTTCTCAGAAGTCGAAAGGACAGTTTGGAAAGCGAGACCTCAACCGCCATCGTCCCGCACGAGTTAGTCCGAACACGACAGTTGGAAAGTGTCCATCTGAAATTTAACCAAGAGTCCGGCACACTGCTTCCACTCTGCTTACGGTGCGAGACATTTTGCATCTTCAAATTAGCTTTGTTGCATTGTGTTTTTACACTTGGACTATTATGGCGGAGAAGACCATGGGCAAACCTTATGAATGAAAAAATTGACTAGACGCGTTTTGTCATTTAACAAATGGTTAGGCAACGTGGTTGAAATGTAAGCTTTCAGGGTTACTGGTTCACCTTCCCACGTCCGCACTTTGAGTATGTTCGCACTTCCTGAGTTGCGTAAGAGACTTTGATTGAATGTCTCACAGGGGCCGCTTGCTGCACGGCAGACATTTTACTTTCAAAAGTATTAACGGCGACACGGCTATTACGTTTGTGTCTACTGGGGTGGAGGGAGCCTTTGCTACTGAGGAGCATCCATACGCAGCCCACGGCCCTTGGCTTCAGGTACGCACAAAAACGTGTGTGTGTGTGTGTGTGTGTGTGTGTGTGTGTGTGTGTGTGTGTGTGTGTTTGTTCAAATAGTTGCCATTGGCCATGCAGTAGCTTGAAGAAAAAAAAAACGTTTGAAGACGAATCACGGCTCAACTGTTTTCTGAAGCTGAGACATGATTGGTCGTCACTTGAGCCCTGAGCAACTGTGATTGCATTTTCAGTTGACAGCAAGTAGCAAAATGGCCGCCCCCTGAGATGGACAAAAACAGGTGGATTTTACTGTTTAACTCCTAATCCATGAACAGAGTATCGATCAGAATACCGTGTGTAGACTAATGGGGCTGCCGAGAAGTTGGAACGAAGCTTTTTGGGTTGACTGCCCCTTGAATGAATGACTATCTGTGTTCCCTGTGTAGATATTGTTGACTGAAGAGTTTGTGGATCAGATGCTTGGGGATTTACATGATCTTAACACTCGTGAGGATGTGAGTAAATCTTCCCAAATTGTACGTTTTTCTGCTCTATTTTTGTTTTGACCGACTTAACCCCCTTTTCTTCTTCTAATAGACAAAACTACCGAAAGAGTACAGTTGGCCAGAGAAGAAGCTGAAGATCTCCATCCTCCCAGACTGTGTGTTTGATAACCTTCTGCAATGAGCTGGAGATGCTTATTCACTACAAAAAAAAAAAAAAACAACAATGTCAAAACCTGCACATCCACTCACTCGGAGGACGCAGTGACGTTGAAGTGTCCTCACTAAAGAAACGTGAACTCCAAAAGACTCTCAGTCGATCTGGGCTGCTCAAAGTCTCAGGTCCATATTACAAACGTCGCTAACGCAGTTTAGCCATGTAGGCGTCACATCACAAGCAATAACTTGTGTTCTATTTATTCCAGTGGCCACAGTAAAGACAACAACAAAAAAGTCAGCTACTGATCGCATTTTTAACATGTTTTCTTTCATTATTGCCTTTGCTGTATGTGTACGTTAAACAAATGCTGGACATTTTTCCCGCTATGATGCCAAAGGTAATGTCGGTCACTCGGTGCTAATGCTTTGACTGGGTGAAGTAAGCCAACATTTCAACTCTCGTCTTTGTTGTATGGCTGACAAATGCTGCAAATACATGCCCCTATGCCAAGATTTTGTATAGCAGGAGCGAGGAACCTATCAGGAGCTATTTCATTTTTCATCAAGTTCTTTAAGGGCCACACTAAATGTATGAAATATAAGCATTTCCTCCAAACTTGTATTTGTTTTTAGCGTTGCCAGATCAAGCCCATATATGGCTGGAGGTTCTTTACCCTGGTTACGTGCAGTCATATTTCAGTTTGTAATGTCTCCATTAACTTGGGTTAGGTAATAACTTGTCTGCTTTTGTGTTTTAAGATGGCAATCTCTACAGTGTTATGTCCAGCGGCCACTGTGAATGAAAAGGTTTGGATTTTTGTGTTGTCGTGTGTAGGATCAGTTCGACAATGAGTTGGAGCAAACCTCAAATTGAAAAGGTCCACACACGCACAGATATGTTGGCTCAGTGATTCTTACTGTGTCATGAGCCGCTTGGATTTTGATCTCGATAACACCAGAATTGAAAGGACAAATTTTACGATATTGTCTTTCTTTTCAGACCGCGTGTACTGTTACACCATACTGTATGTCATGATATTATATAGTTGTCTTTGTCTGTCTTTTTTTAAGTGACTGATACATGTTGATAACATGCTTTTGTTATTTGCCATTTTATTTGAACCGGTTATAATCCCAAGTGCATTAAAGAGTAGCTATTTACACAAATAAAGCTGGAACACTGATAAATGAGCATCTGTCTATTTTTTTTCCTGATAAAGGTACACCGAACATTGAAGCACTATTTGGGTTTGATTTATGTATTGTATATCCCTACTTGCCACAATATTAGTCATGAACGTTTTCTAACTGGGCAAAATGATAACGTTTATCATTTTAGACTTGTAATTTTTGTGGCAGCAGTGGTTTGCATGTCTGCCTCACAGTTCTAAGGTCCAGAGTTTGTATTTCAGCCTTACATGTTCTTCCCACACTCAAAATTGTCCCTCGGTGTGAGTGTCAGCCCGAATGGTTGTTCGTCTATGCGTGCCCCCATGTCAAATCTACAATGTTATTATTCAAACTAAAAAGAGATGGAGAGAACGACAGACAGACATTACCCTGTGAGGGAAGTAATTTGTCACAGCTGCACTACTCAAAATCACAAGAATAAAAGTGCAAATATCAAAGAAAAAAACTAATCCCTATACCGGTATATATATAGAGAGAGAGAGAGAGAGAGAGAGAGAGAACTCTCTCTCTCTCTCTCTCTCTCGCCCCACTTATACTGGAAGAAAAGGTCCTGGAACCGCAAGACTAATTCTTCAAATATGACATTATTTGGATGTTAATTTCTCATGGACTAAAAGAAGCCATCTCCATGCTGGTGGTTATGTGACCATGATTGCGAATTTGCAGATATTCGCTTCGTAAAAATGGCCAGCTTCTGTTCTCTTTGAAATCACATTTACACGCTGTATGTTGTGCTTATAAATTTATTGTCAATATTTCAAGGGGCCCCAGGGGGCCTCAGCTCATAAAAGTAATTGCTGCTGACTCCCAGCCTCCTGGCCTCTGCGCCCGCCCCCCTCCGGGGCTCCTCCCCTCCCAGTGTATGTATCAACTCTGACGGGTCACATTAGCAAAAGGGGCCGGTCTGCGTGGACGCACGGAGCTCACGTTACGAGGACTTTTTTTTTTCGTCGGGCTTTTCATGTTCTTTGATGTTTAGTTGACGATCCAACGCAACAGTTAAGCTGCGTGGAGGAATGCAAAGCCTTTCGTTGAAAAACAGATCAAACAAAAGGTAAAGGCTGTCGCTCGTTCCGTTTGGTGGGCGAGCTGTTGCGATCTTGACAGCGGGGGAGCTCGGCTTGGACTACGTAGAAGCGGCCAAGGTGCGCTGGAGTGTGCAGTGGACATGCAAAGCCGATAGTTGGTACGTCGCTTTTGTTTTTCTTTTTGCCGGAGAATTCCAACACTAGTCTTCGCTGACAGGAAGCCAAGATGTGGCGTTCCAATAATAACAAATAGAAACGTCAACGTAGCTCAGCGTGACATCTCCTGCTTGCGAGCGAATTGACCCCCCCCCCCTTTTCTTCGATAAGACACTGCATGGATTGCCGATACCGACTAACAAGAACAAAAACGCCATTAATTAACTGTATGTAGTTTCACAATATTAAAATAACAATTTATAATTATGATGATTCTCATTCATAGTTTTGAACCCCACCAATAAACTCTTAAATTTCCATCACAGGAGGATGTTGACAATTTATTTCTCTTTCAAAGTTAGCTTGGAGCAAATTGCGTCATGATGTCCCCGTCTCTTCTTACGCTTCACCTAACAAAGCTTATGTATGAGGGAATGGGGGTGGATAGTGAGGATTGTTTTATTTTTAATGTTTTTGTTCTGGAAAACGTGTTGTTACAGTTGCAGCTGTTCTAGAAGCGCTATATAAACAAAATGAGTTGGGTTGTGATACTGTGTCCTTTTAAACAGGGGCGGAGCTACAACGTGCCCAGGGCCACCGTTGTCACTCTCTGGCCACCCCCTGCCACATAATCTATATTTTTTTCCTGCCATTTGTTCCTACTTGTCTCTTAGTGTGATGATTATTGTCCTGTATGTGTGAATTTTATTTCATGAAACCCTGACTATAGATGAAGAATGACACATGCATGCATACACCGCAACCCTCACTGAGGTGTAGTGTTACCTTGACCAACTTACTGCAACATTTCTGACTATGCTCTAGCCTACAAATGTGCACTGACAGGTCTCTTAAAGTTTCTTCCCCCCCCCCCTTTTTTGTGCTCCTTGGACAGCTGTAGCTATTGTACAGTGGATAAGATTGTTTTCAGTGGATAAGATTATTTTCTCTTTCTCCAACAGTGGGATATTCTAAGGAACTCATTGCCTACTTGTCTTCAATGTTTGGAACAGTTGCCGCCATGGATGCCACTTGGAGGAACTGTTTCGAGGAGGAGCTCCTCTGTCCCATCTGCCTGAATGTGTTTGAGGAGCCAATCCAGCTGCCCTGTAAGCACAACTTCTGCAAAGGTTGCATCTCAGAGGCCTGGGCAAAAGACAACGGCGCGGGGGTTCGCTGCCCCGAGTGCAACCATGAGTACGAGCAGAAGCCGTTACTGGAGAAGAACTTCAAGTTGGCCAACATCGTCAAGAGATTCAACGTGTTAGACTCTGAGAAGTCCCCGATGGCACTGCACTGCGTCCTGTGCAGACGAGGCCCACCGCTGCCCGTCAGGAAGGTGTGTCTGCGTTGTAAAGAGCCCTGCTGCCAGATACACGTACATACGCACCTGCAGCAACCGTGCGTGGCGCCGGGGCACCTGCTGGTGGATGCCGAGGAGCTGAGTGCCTGGACGTGTCCCAGCCATGATGAGTATAGGCTGCTCCACTGCGAGGATGAGCAGCTGGCTCTTTGTCCCTTCTGCTGCATCTCCCATTGCAGCGCACAAAGACACACGGTCTGCGACGTGGACACACAACGCATGCACATGCAGGTAAATAACATGCACGAGAGTGCACACGTCATTCGCAATACCCGTAGACTGTTGTAATGCATCCACCGGACGTGATGAGTGTCAAGTTTAGCCCAACATGGGTTTCTTAACCACAGGTGCAAGGGTCACTAGGAAGGAAAGACACATGATGTTTCTGAGTTTGGAAATCAAAATGCTAGCTGGCTTGAGGAATAATAATGTAAGGCCAAGCGCCTTCCTTAAATAGGTGCATGGCATATGAAGTTAATTGAAGACTCTAAACCAGCGGTTCCAAACCATTTTTTATGCCACAGACCAGGTATATGTAAAGCAACATTTTGATGGACTGTCATAGAAACAAACAAATGTATTAAATACAACTCACAATTACAGTGTGGCTGTTTCTGAGTTGTGGCAGTTCTGTGTGTTAGCTCTTCATGCGATTGATTTATCATGTTGAGGCTATCCCAGCTGATTATGGTAGCACATGGTGTATACCCTGGCCTGATAGCGTGTCAATCACAGGGCTGGCATATAGACAGGGGTGCACATAAGTAGTGCGGCAGTTTGCATAAGCATTGAAAATTGAATATTGCGCACTAAAATATTTAATGACAGACTCAATTCAAAGTCAAATAAGTCGCCACAACAATTGATGCAGAGGGCCAGCTTCAAAATAAAACGTAAGTAAGACATTGATATCCACGTACAGTATAGTTTGTGTGCTTTTATTTTGAAGTTGACAATCACGGCGCGTTGCCAAGTAGCCAATGAACAACTCTTGTGGCTGCTGGCTTGATTAGGCCTGCTCCCAGCTTCATGGGGAGACGGTGGCCTAACGCATCGCAGGATGGCCGCCGGTAAGACGGTTATCTCCGTGTCATTGCGACACGGCTTCGGCAGTCCTTGTACATAAGACAACCTAACGCCGTCTTTTTCCATTTGGAAATTAAACAGTAACTGTAATTATCTCTTCGAAAATGCTATTGGTCAAATGCGAACATTTACTTTCACCTTGTGCAATATTAAAGAGTATCGTAAAGTAGGCAGAGACGGCATCTTGATGAACTTTCCAGGAGACTCTGATGTCTTTATTCGACCTTGTCACCCTTTTTGAGCAATGAGACAGTTCAAATCAGATATATGGCACCCTTTTCAATGGAAATGTGATAAAAGGCTAAGTGTACCGAACTATCAAACCCGTACAGGTATACCAGATGGATGGTTGATCTTTGGATGTAGTCTACAAGCCCAAAGTATATTTTGGCTTGAGAATCCGACTGGTTTTACTATCCGAACCACTTATGGGGTGACCTATGTTTTCCCTTTCTGGATGAGCAAGTCGCGGGCCCACATAAAGTTCACAGAGTTGCAAATTAGATGTTTTTGGTGCAAATTGTTGCTGTGGTGGAGAGCTATTATTGGGACAAAAGATGTCTGTTCAGCCCTTTCCACAGCTGCTCACCACACATGCATACACACACACACCCACCATCTATTCTCTCACAGCTGTATGCGCTAAACGTTAAACAGATCCGTCTATGATTCGCTGCTCCCTGCTCTTCCCGCATTAACATTGTCCACAGCAGTGAGCGTGGACATTGCCCCATGCTACAAAGTGTGGGGTTTTGCGCTCAGGGTGTTGAATAAAGTATCGGAGCAGATTCATGTGAGTAAGTCCTCCAAGAGCATGGTGGAAAACCTACAGCTCCTGGGCTATATACGGCCCACCAGAGTATTTGATCTGGCCCGCCATGCAAATTTAAAAACAAATAAAACCTACAAGGAACCATTGGGGAAAAACTAAAATGGTTCTTGATAGGAAAACGGTTCCCCGCCGCTGTCCTAGAGGGAGCTGTGGTCTATTTTCGTAGAAAACCTTTTCGATTCCCTTGGCGGCAGTCTTGTTGCTTTTGGGATAAACAAAGATGGAAATACCGACGCGACTGTGTTCATATCTTTGGCTCAGTGGCTCTCAAAGGAGACTTTGAGAGTGGCCAAATACAAGAAAAGCCGAGTAATAAAAGACTAATGTCATCCCGGGGACTGATGGAGGAGAAGTCCTCCCACGCAACCTCACCTTGCGTTTCTCAGCAGGAAACAGATTTTTCTCTGCTCCCCATCATTCCCACCCTTCCCCCCCCAGTATCTCGCATATGCACTGCAATGAATCAGTCTGTTGGTTGACATCAGCTGTCTGTTGATTGTGAAAGAGGCTCTCTGTTCATTGACCCTGAGGCTCTGTGTTTTAACATGAGCTTCCTGGCAACTGGTGACTGTGCGTATGCTTTAATAGGACAGAGGGGAAAGTGACCGTTGTTGGATTTCATCTTGATAAAGGTAGGGTTTCACACCGCTTCGGAGAGGATCACCAAACCAGAGAGTGGCCCTTGTGCTTCGTTGCAAGCACTTAACCAGACAAAAGGAAACTTTAGAAAATGCAGGGACACGAAGAATAGCTGTGCGCAGTTTGTGATGCCAACTCGCCATTGAAGGAGTCTCTGCAAGTTCTAACTCGGTTGCCTTTATAATAGTTTAGGCCGGGACAAAATGTCCTCGAGTGTCTTGAGTAAGATAGGAATCAGTTCCGCATAATGCTGTCATCGATGTGCGAAGACGTGTTGTTTTGTTGTTCATGTTTTCAATGAGAACTAACTTGTGAATAGCCATGAGTAACTGATGCCGGCCCTTTTTTGTATTATTTTAAATCGTAAATATAGCGCAAACTATGATCCTAAGCGGCCAGGAATCTCCGTAACTTCCGGAAACAACCGGTGCTAACCTTGGGTCCTCCCCAACAGAAAATTGTTCAGCCTCAATGTATACCTTCAACATACAGTAGTAACTTGAGATAAATGTTTAACACTCGGAACACAAAGTACTCACTCATATGTCAAATAATCTCATCCTTTTGAAAATAATGGAACAGCCATTAATCCATCCCAGCCTCCCCCCAAGAAGCAAAATGTTTGTGTTGTGTAATAACGAAAAATCACACGCTATATTTGTATATTACAGCCTTGGAGACACAAACGAAGAAGAATAGTTCTTCTACCAAGTGACTCAGTATGATGTTGGAATATGTACCTTTTTTGTTGAGGATAAAGAATATATGTCTGAGTATAGTTAACATTCCTGTATTTCTCTACATGTACGACTCCATTTGTGGTCAAATATCCTCTTAACTCTACAACCGTGACTATTGATGCTAACCATTAGCAAGTCAATAGCATTTTGCATTGTTTGTTCGCATTAAGACAGACTAACTCTTAAGGTTGTTTTCACATTGTGTAATTCTCTGTTTAATCCTTAGTTTTACAGTAAACTTCAACATGGTGTGGTATCTCGGAAAACTCGGGCCATTTCTGCTTTACTTCCTTGACACTAATCGCTAATGCCATCGTGTGGCATCTTAGTGCACAAAAACACAAAGCGGTGAGTTTTCCAGCAAATTGGTGAAAAGTGAAGCGTTTATTGAAATAATATTTCAAATAATGAAAGACTTTTGAATACAGTCTCCTCGGTGCACTCGTCATCACCGAGATGAGTTGCGATGTTGTGTTAGTTGAGTCTAGTGGCTTGTTGTGGGCAGCTGAAGAGGCCGGTTGCTGTGATACAACGTTCGCCGGAGACCGCAGGAATGTCCTCATTCTCTCCCATTTATGCTTCGAACCTTCTCTCCGCTGCTTCCTTTTTGAGTTTCTCACTTTTATTCAGCACTTTCCCTCTCGGACCCCGCCGGTCGGCACACAGACACGACAGTGTGTCGCTGCGGCAGAGGCCAGCGCAAACAACAACGACGGGAGCGATGCATGTGGCGAGCGAGAAGAGAAAGCAGAGCAGGGCTAGTGAGCGTCTCCTCCCCCACATGCACATTAGATAATCCAGCAGGCTTTGTTGCCCTCTCTTATATTTGGTACGCAAGTGGCTTTTCCATGCGCTACAAGCTCATTAAAGAGTGCCCCTCCACGCTCACTCTCATCAATCAGCCCGAGACTGTACATTGATTTCCATCTGCAGCACTAAAACCAAAGAAGGATTCTATTTAGTTGTTGAACCCCCCGTGGGACTCTTTGTACTCGGCACACAGGAAGTGGGACGGTTCCCAACAGCGGACAGCTGGGGTCAGGTGGATTTGTGCAGTTGTCAGTGTTCTCATAGCTGAATGTTTGCCGTTGTGCCTGGCAGCAGTTGCTTCCTCTGTCCACTCGGGATTTTGGAGGCGGTAGCTGATGTGACTCATAAGCTTCCAAGCAAGCAGTACTGTTGTGTTCGGTTCTCTTCGGGATGGTCAAAAATTAAAAGAGTACCAAAAGAAATGGATTTCCACAACGTATTTACTCAAGTGCCAAAAGGAGAAACCAATAGAAGGGAGGCCTGTACAATGTTGTTTTGAAAAAAAGAAAAAAAAAATGACTATTTTAGGGAGAAATGCAGCAACATGGAAGGAAGTGACGCAGACGGGACAGAACTAATAGGTCAGCATCCTGTAACTCCCCCGGAACATATATATAGATGCACACAATACTCGTGGAGCCGCATGTCACAGACTTTACGCTAATTGGAGGGATGCTCACTTTTGGTCCACAAGGTAAATGTGGTAATGCTCCACCACATCGAGCAGCTGATACCATTGCTACTATTGTGCAATAAAAAAAAAAAAGATGCATTTTCTCTTTCCAATGCATTGTCTTTAACATGAAGAAGTGATTTAATTGTGAAATTGATCTAACTGCCGTTGGGCCAAAACTGCACAATTTATCAATTTTTTTTCTTCACACATCTATGTATTATAGATCAGTCCATACGTATGTGCTATTTTTACAAAAGATGCGCCAATCTAAAGTGTTGTGTGTTAGATGGTGCAATGTTAACGGTTGAACAAAAACAGCGTTTTGGGGACTCTCCTGACAAGTGATGATTGTGAAGGTACGAGGAATCTACCCGACACCGGCGATATCTTAAAAAAAAAAAAATCTTCCTATGTCCTATGAGATCTGCCAAGCAAGAAGGAAATCACAGCATTCGGTGAAAGTGTTGACGGGGTTTGGTTTGCAGTTCCTTGTAATACATATTCGTCCGTCTTAGCCATCTCCTGTCGGTCATCTCAACAGGCCGCACTAATGAGGCAACAAGACAGACTGGAGGGTCGTGTTCAGAACATCGATGAGCACATTACCAAGCTGGAGTCCGACAAGACGCTGATGAAGGTACACCGAGCTGCCGCCGCTCCTATGGAGACAATAGTCCACGTCTTCACACGCTACAACAAATGTTTAAAATTCCATCTCAATGTATCCCGACTGTAATCGTGTTGCGAGTGGCCTTCATTGCTCAGTAGGCCCGCCTCGTTTTATTAACTTGTGGCAATTTGCAGCAGGGCGTCGTCATAAAACCTGCCGTGTACCTCTCCGCAGGATGCCCTTTCAGACCTGAAGGAGCGAGTCAGGGACCAGTACCAGAGGATGCAAAGCATGCTGGAAGCCAAACAGTGCGAAAGTATGCAGATTCTGGAGAGAGCATACAGCTCATACCGGAGGAAAAACTCCCAGCAGGTTTTGCAGCTTAACGAGCGGCGGCAGCAAGCGGAAAAACTCCTGAGCTCAGTACAAGCTTTCTTTCAACGAGCCGACAACATTAACTTCATGAAGGTTCGTCTCTTTCTGTTTTGTTTTTTTTTGGCCATCCAAACCACTTCTTGGCCTTAGACAATGAGGAGCAATAATAAGATCCTATATATTTTTTTTCCCCCCCCAAATGCGTTTAACCCTTTCATGCTCCTGCAACCTCAAAACATGAAAAGCTGTCCGCTGTAGTAACCGCTGTCCCTGAAAGGATTAATGGTCATCTTTTTTTTGTGTCTGTCTGTTCTATCCTATCATTTTGTTTCCTGTTGTGTATCTGTATCTGCTGTTTGCATAGTGCAGGGGTGTCAAACTCATTTTAGTCGCGGGCCAATTTGGAGTTATGTCTTCCATCGGAGGGCCGTTATGACAGTGAAACCACCAAATTATTGCTTGGACACAACAAATTAATAGATTATTAGTTTTGAAATCAGTCAAGTCAATTATAATAGTTTGTTCAATTATTGTTCAAGTGAGTGTAAACTGGGTAACAAAATTGTTGCAAAACCTCAATGTCATTTTTTTTTTACACATGACAATTTCAAATTTTGGTACATATTTTAGCAAGTTGACAGACACGATTTGCTTTCGTGGGCCATATAAAATGACCTGGCGGGCCGGATCTGGCCCCCCGGGCCTTGAGTTTGACACCTGTGGCATAGTATAATGATTCCTGTTACTGTATTTCACATTGGTGGGTATTGTTTCTTGTCGCATCGTCTTAAACACGATCATATATCAGTCATTAAATGAATGCTGCTGCTAAGTTGACCGAGTCGTACATTTTTCTGGACAATATCAAAGCGGATTTTCGATCCAAATTGACTTGTGTCGATTTCCTTTCCAGAACACAAAACCTTACCAACTACTAATTGACAGGTAAGTGTGAGAGTTTCCATTTGGTTTACACCACACCAAATCTGTTGGTGTTTGTTTTAGCATCAGCAAAAGAGTAAAACATCATAATGCGTTCTGGTCGGATGCATTTGTTTACATTTATTTAAAATGAATATGGTGTTGATCCTCTTAGGTCCAATTTGCAGCTGAGCAGTTCTGTCCCTCCACTCTCAGTGGGCCAAATCAGCGCTCATCATTTCTTATCGGGCCTCTCAACACAGGAGAAGAATCTGCGCAAAATCCTGGAAGGTAGGATGGATTTTTTTTTATATATCTATATTTTATATCTATAAATTGGAAGGTAATTCCTGGGATACTGTCTGGGCCGAAATAGTTGCATTCTGTTCTGTCATCGTCAGAACCTGTCAATGAGGTGTCGATCAGTGAGGTAGTCCAGACACACTCGAGCTCTGTGGACACTCGCTCGGGACTCAACAAGAGGAAATACGGCATGGCTTTTCTGGAGACTACGGCCGAAAACTCGGCATCCCAGCATCCCTCGCCTTTGCTCTTCGCCACCAAAATGCCTCTTCTGGCTGAACCCAGCCAACGCGACTCCAACATGTTCTCCTCTGACGCTTTGGGTCAGAATGCTCACTCTGGTCAAGGCCACAGTCGCTTCCTGGACACCTCAGACCATAATGTTGTAGGCCAACACGCAGAGGCCATTTTCTCGCCGCACCTCCGCAGCGGGGGCGCGTCCCAACAGGCTGTGTACGAAGGGAGGAAGGTCCTGATGTGCTCCAGGCCTGGAGCCGCTCGAGCCCTTTACCCGACGCACGACTCATTCGCCCCCATCAATTCTCAGGAGTTTGGCCCCATAGCTGGCAGCCAGCCCTTGCAGCATTTACCCATGAGGGGACTGATGGAAGCCTCCCAGGCATCCAGGCGCTCGGACTATTTTGGCTTGTACAGTCAATCTTCAACCAAGCATTACGGGACAAAGTAACAATATGGCAGAATCAACACCGGCTTCACTTTGTGGATTCTGAATATATTCAGAGGACGCTTCATTAGGAACGCCTACAAAACCTAATGAGATCCAATACAAGAGCTGGTCCAACAATTCGGCTTTTACAATGGTGATCATGAAGACTAATGAATACTGTAATTTAATATTTTATCATAATTAATAAGAATAATTTATCCATCCATCCATCCATCCATTTTCCAATCCGCTGATCCTCACAAGGGTGGCGGGGGGTGCTGGAGCCTATCCCAGCCGTCTTGGGGCAGTAGGGTGGGGACACGCTGAACCGGTTGACAACTAATCGCAGGGCACACAGAGACTGAACAACCATCCATGCTCACACTCACACCTAGGGACAATTCTGAGTGTTCAATCGGCCTGCCATGCATGTTTTTGAAATGTGGGAGGAAACCAGAGTACCCGGAGAAAACCCACGCAGGCCCGGGGAGAACATGCAAACTCCACACAGGGAGGCCGGAGCTGGAATTGAACCCTGTACCTCTGCACTGTGAGGTCAACGCGCTAACCACCGGATGACTGGGCCGCCAATAATAATTTATGAATGTGGTTTACAGTTATGTTGAACTGCAATGCATTGTACTGAATGCTACTGCTAATATTTAACGCACCACATTCATAAATGTATCGCTAAATTATTAGCAGTAATATTTTTGACGCAGGCTGCAAATTGGGAGGCCTCACAGTTTGAATCGGATACCTGGCTCCCTCGCACATTCCAAAAACACGCATGTTAGGTTCACTGAAGACTCGAAATCGTCTGTAGGTATGAATGTGATTGTCACTTATCTATACCTGCATATGCTCTACGATTGGCTTGTGACCAGTCCAGGGTGGATGCCATCTTTTCACGCAATCTTCTGGGATAGGCTCCAGCTCACCCACGACCTCAATCATGACAAACCAAAAATGGCTCGACAGCACGGACTGTTTTGGATACAGCTCTTGCATTGGATATAATTGTCCAAGTGTGGCTAATGCAGTGTCCCATTAGTCGTTAACATGATGATATAAATTAATGTAAGATTGGCACTTTTATGTTTAAGTAATACTATTTTTCTTACTACGTTTTCAAAATCCGTTTGATTCCCTTCTACAGCGTTGTTTTCCTTTATAGTCAAGTCATCTTGACATCATAACAAGGATCACACCGTTTCTTTCCAAATCAATGCAATCAGTCAAGTGTATGTCAAATGAAATATATTAACATAATAATAACAATTAAAAAAAAATCTAAACTCCACAGTGACCGACCAGACAGCGATGCCGAAAAAAAAAAGACTTAAATAGAATGCTCTTATTTTGATGTGTCACTTCCTGTTAGCTGCCGAACGCATGCAACAAAGCTCTTATGCACTCCAAAAGTCGATGTGACTTGGAACTAACACTGGAACACGGATGCTTGGGAGGATTTTAATACATTTGTCAAGGTTTTAAGAAACCAGAATCAGTGGAAATGCGAAATAAACATGTCAGTGTGATGGAGATTTTCTTCCTTAGCTTGTGTGTGTTTTTTATCTTGACTAAGCGCATATTATCATCTCCAGACTTAAATCAGTAGAGAGCTGATTAATTTTTGATGGTGACTGACCATGTCCTTAAAGTGCAACAGAAGCACACCAAGGATTCGATTTCCACTTTCAAGCGCTGGTATTTTGTCAATATGTCGTCATATGACACAAAACGAAAGCAAGAGCTTTCTTGGAAGGAAAGCACCATTCTTTACGTCACATAAAACCCACAACTTGCTTTTTGATTGTTTGTTCGTCCACACTATAACATGTAGAAGCCAAAAGCTGCTCGGCTGGTTCCTTATTGATGGTCTTGTACTTGAGGGAGAGCAGTAGTAGTACTAGTGACGAGACCAACAAACAAGTGGATACAAAATATTTTGTAATTTAAAAAAATAATACCAAGCTGTTCAGTCATAACGCATTTTTTTTCTACATGTGGACAGCATTAGCAGGTCAAAAAAAGCGAGTCAGTATGAGCGCAAAATTTACAGGATTATGGTAGGAAGCAAAACAAGTTTCACATTTGGAGAAAGGCCAACAAGAACATTTGAACTTTATTTGGGATTAATCAGGTGTACTTTAAATGCTGTTGTGCTGACTCATGTTCAAGATTGAGTTTGAGCGAGATTGGTTCATTCTGAACACAGTCACACATCCAGCTAGACCTTGTGCGACCACATTATTTCTGTTGTTTATTTGTACTTTGCCTCCTGAAAAGATTTCGTTTTTGAATTGTACATGTCGTAGGTCATTTTCAAAATTGAAATGATTGATTTGCGGGTCATTATTATTTTTTGTTTTAAATCGCAGAAGCAGGCATTTGAACGCATTTTAATTTGAGATTTGCATGCTCTGTTTTGACTTGCTTTGCCTCATTCGAAAGTCACCCCAACTTTAAACTCGTTCCCTTTCAGTAGGAAAACAACAACATGATAACGTTGTAGTCGGTTCTTACTTGCCAACATCCCGCTCTTGGCAGATTCAGGCCTCTTTGTCTCATTATTGGAGCTGCTTGTCAAGTTATGTCGGAGTGTGAATAACTGATGAGATGTACCCCCTACCCCCTCTCCCCCTCATTCTATTCTCTCTCCCAGGGTATCATTTTCTGGGGCTCATTGCAGGAAGGGGAGGGGACGAGCATGCTCATGATCTTGACACAGACGTTTTAATGAGGGCTGAGATAGTACACCCATCTACTTATCTGTCACTCATCCTTCTTTCATCATCAGCCCTCCACGCAGTGATAAGAGGGGAGGAGGAAAAAAAATGATGAAGCCATATGACTCGCATCACTTATTCATAATCTGTAAAATGTTCTTTTTGCACTATGGATTTTCCTTCTCTCTCTTTTTTTTCCAATCCAACAAGAGTGGGGAGAAGGTTTTCTGATTGGAGTGCAGCTTTCTCTCCTTCGATATTACAGTGTATGAGGTGGAGGAGTGGGCGGAGCTGATTTAGTGACAGTGCGACATCAACTTGCCACTTATGGTGCATATGGGTATGTCAACCCATTAGCATTCCTCTTGTGTACTCCTCCAGTCTGTGTTATTAATAAAACATACAGTAGATATTCATGGGGGGCAGGGAAGGGGTAGGGCATAGTATTATTTTAGAACGACAGTTGTGCCTAGACAGTTTCATTCGTTCTGTGACCGCACTTGTAACTGACCCTAAAAACAACCAAATATTTTGAAATGCATTTTTTAAGGCTGACAACAGACAAATGAACCAAGGTCTCTTAGAATATTATATTAAAAACACGAATGTCATCAAAATATGCCCTTAATCACAATGAAGAAAAAGAGGCCAAATTAAAATGCTGTATTTAGTTAGGTTTGAATACAGCACCCTAGACACAGAAGGCTTTAATTACATTGCAGGCTTCATATCACATGATTTTCTCTTCTCACGGGAATGAGAGCTCAAGGGTAGGTGTGCAGTGTGTGTGTGTGTGTGTGTGTGTGTGTGTGTGTGTGTTTGGGTTGGGCTTAGTACAAGTCGAATCCTGTCGGGTGAACGAATGTGTGCTCAGGTGTCAGCGTGCACTGCGCTCTGAGGTTATGTATACAGTAAAGAGTGATGCACTTGACAGCTGTGTTGTGTAGTGGCAGGTGTGTTGGGTGTTCCATATGAATCAGCTCAACACGCCCTTGCCTGGAGAGAGATGAGTGTCCGTGGATTTGGTCAGGGTAAGCCATTACCCTGAAGAAGCTGTTGTGTAGCTGTTGTGTCTGTGGCCTGCCTATTTTGTTTGTCAGCAGCTTCCCTTTAAGTCCCCTCCACCCCCACAAAAATCATATCTGATGTTATTTTCATACAAAACTAATTAGTAAAACAGTCAAAATCTCTTTGTAACTATTTATGAGTTGAGAAATTATTATTTGGTATCTAAAGGAGGTTAACGTGACCAGTATCCTCTACAAAAGCGGTCCCCAACCTTTTTTGCCCACGGACCGGTTTAATGTCAGACAATAGTCTCAGTGACCGGCCTTTAAGTTGACCTATATGAAAACTGTGGTATTTTCAAAACATAAACACGAATCATGACACGAGGAACGTCCTATTTGGCCGCAACACTCTGTTCGCTTTAACGTTTAAACGTGCCTTCAAAATAAGATACGGCGCAAATACAAGGTGCATCAAAAATACGACTCACCATCACTGCATATTAAGCAGATTGGGCTTAGTGTCTCTTAAATTTAGCCTTCTTTTTCTTGAAAGTCATAGCCTCCTCTTATGTCTCCTGGCTGGGCCTTTTCTCCCTCCTAAAAAAAAACTTTCTAAAGACGTCTGTTTTTTACTCATTTTGCTAGCTTCCGGGTTTCATTTCACAGCAGCTGTAACCTGTCACGTGACCGAGAAGCGAACCTTGACGTGCGTCAAGAGTGACATACTGTAGACGGATGTAACAGGGGATCCGGTAGATTTTCAAAATAAAACCTCTTCAGAGTCGGAAATGAATAAAACGGAAGTATTGTAAGTTATTTATTCTTTGTGCGGCCCGGTACCAAATGACCGACGGAACGGTGCCGGTCCGCGGCCCGTCGTTTGGGGACCAATGTTCTACATCAATAACTCAGCAGCCACAATGTGACAATTCTTGCAACAAATGAATGGCAAAAACTACCATCTACCATATGCAAGTTGAGGTATTATCTTGCTATGGTACACTTGGAAAGCCTGCAGACTGTGCGTCGGCGTCCAAACGATTTAAGTGTTTCAGGAAAACTGACATTCCTCGTACGCATACAACAGGAAGTATGCAGAATGACGATTAGGCTCATGCAGAATGCGAAACTTCATCTGATCAGGCCTTTAAAAAAATGTGGGTTCTACACACGCACACACACACAAGCAGTGCAATGTGTTTGAAATATTTATGGCCTTTCAATGGTAGAAAAAGCTGTATCAGTTAGTGAGAGGGAATCGTGGTGCGCTTGAGCAGTTGCTGTGGTAACACCGGGATTTCATATTAAATTGAAGTGACGCCTGTTACAGAGAAAGGTGGAAGGTGCATTCAATC